TTAAGGCGAGATACGTGGTTTGACCGTCAGCTCTAACCCCCGGACAGGGGCTCAGTATTCATCAATATATCATTCATTTTCACCAATGTCAGGGTAAGCAAAGTGACTACAGGTAGCTACGATAGCTTCTTTACTCGTGGCTGGTTTCCGTTGTCTGGTCCAAATCGCAGTCGCCGTTCACAGGTTCAGGGGATGTGAGTCTCCTCTACATATATCGCCCCTGTTCCAGAGGGATTTGTTAACTTAGTCCATCCTTCCCGTACCTCCCCCCAGCTGATTTACTGGATAAATACAATTTTGGATATTATGGTTTACTGGATATTGAACTCTTTACCCCGGCCATTGTGGGACTTGCAGCTACTAAACTGGTCTGAAAATGCACCCACACACATACCCTGAATCAAGATTATAAGCGTGCAGGAGAATTTAGCTTCCCGTGAGAACGGAGCGCCCGACCACAGCGCCACCACCATCGCCATCTGCACTGAGAGAAAAGTTGACTCTTCCCAGCACATAAGAGAGAAACGTCATGTTTTTACCCTCAATGCAATTCTTCTTTGACACCGAACTCGGATAAAATTCATTTGAAACTGTTTTCTGACTCTTTTATGACTAAAACAAGCATTCTCTCTACTCTTACATGACCCTTCCAATGTTCTTCAAAAACACACTCTAATTCTGAACATTCTTTCAATAGGTACTCCTGTGAGTTCTTGTAGAATTCTCCCAAAACTCTACACCGATCCATCGCACGTGGCCTTACCTGTGCTTCAATAATATCGGTTATTCTAACAAAATTATCCCCAATAAAACTCTCATAATACTCTTCTACAATTCTGCAAATATAAATCCTGCATTTTCATTCGAATATGTTATGAAAAGGTGGGCCGAACACAACTTTTTGCGAACCCACATAAAAGGCTGATACAAAACAAAAGGCATGACAAAAACAACAACAATCGGTCGTATTAAAACGTGCTGATGTTTTAGGCTCATCGTTAGTAATCCAATAGAACCCACTACTGCAGTAGGGGAGAGTGGGGCAAAGCGGCCACCCTAACGCTTCTCACGATGCCAACGCTTGATTTTTAAACTTGGAAAGATTCTTTCTATACCAATGTGATCCCTATTAAGTTGCCTTTTATTTCAACTGCGTTTTAATTCCAAAGGCGTTCACATATGAAAGATATTGACAAAACTTTAAACCTATGCATATTGGCCACTTTGCCCCATACCCTGGGGCAAAGCGGCCACTGGCGTCTTCTCAAGTCCCGATATGAGAAACAAAATTGTTGCCTCATGTACGACTAGGGTATTTGATGGTGACAAGGTTTAAGCGAGGATGGATGTTTACTTTATCATCTTCCACCTGTAGGTAAACAAAGAAAGGATTTTCATGAAAAACATTAAATTGCATTATTTGGTAGGGGAAGTTTGGGGAACGCCGAATACTTTTTTTCTGACGCCCGTAGCACGCAAGGTAGACAACATAAGCTATTCTTGTTGGCGTCATTCGAGAGGCCAGTCTTTTGCCTTTCAAACATACCAGGCGCATTTGATGAATTCGCATACCGTTAAGCGCACAAACTAAAAATATCAAAGAAGTGACTTTTTCGGCGTTGCCCCGGACTGCGGGAATATATATTCCCGACCGGGGCTGGGAAAATGCGTTTTATTCACCGAGGTTTTTGTGCGGAGGACCGAGTGCCGGTAGGCACGAGGTCCGTAGCCAAAAACCGAGGTGAATAAAACTGCATTTTCACAGCCCAAGGTTGGGAAGAGATTTACCACATGCCGTACCGGCGCAACAGTTAATATCATATTCATTTGGTATTATATATTATATTCTTAATATGGTGTTAATATTATATTAATACTATGTTCATATTTATAGTCACTGTGATTATTTTTTGTGTTTTTCATTATTGGGCGGCGCTGGCCGTTGAGTATGAAAGATGAAATTCCTTACTTTTCCCTTATTTAGGGATTGAAAAAGCTGAGGATGAAGATGGTGAAGCGCCAGAAGTTAGAATAAACTATAAAGATATGGAGTCCAGCACGAGTGAGGAAACCGTGAGCAAAACTGAAAATTGGGTGAAACGCTGAATCAAACGCGTCTTAGATCCCAGCTGGAACAATATCCAAATGGTTCATTGTGGCTCGTTAAGATGCTTCGCGCATTTCAAGTGTTTGTTTTTTTGCGTGCTTTATGTTGTAATAATGAGTAGGTACTTTGACCATGTTCTGCAGCAAAAAATACATTGGCATTGGAACGATACCTACCCTTGTTTAGTTGAATTACGTTGACAGCAAAAGTAAGTGAAAACGCCGTCACTTAATTTTGCTCACTTCTGCTGTTGCTGTTAGTGAACACACAATCCGAAAATATCTTCTTTGAAATTGGTTCTTCCGCTCAGAATATTCAGTAAAATTTTGTCTGGGAAAATCAAAAAGCCCTAGGGCCGAATCGTTTCCCAAATACCTTCAACATTAGCCGAGGCGGGCCGAAGCCATTTCCCAAATGGCCGTGCATTGGGAAATGGCCGAAGCCATTTCCCAATGCACGTGCTAATGTTAAAGGGATATCTCGGCATGTGGTAATATATATTCCCGACCGGGGCTGGGAAAATGCGTTTTATTCACCGAGGTTTTTGTGCGGAGGACCGAGTGCCGGTAGGCACGAGGTCCGTAGCCAAAAACCGAGGTGAATAAAACTGCATTTTCACAGCCCAAGGTTGGGAAGAGATTTACCACATGCCGTACCGGCGCAACAGTTAATATCATATTCATTTGGTATTATATATTATATTCTTAATATGGTGTTAATATTATATTAATACTATGTTCATATTTATAGTCACTGTGATTATTTTTTGTGTTTTTCATTATTGGGCGGCGCTGGCCGTTGAGTATGAAAGATGAAATTCCTTACTTTTCCCTTATTTAGGGATTGAAAAAGCTGAGGATGAAGATGGTGAAGCGCCAGAAGTTAGAATAAACTATAAAGATATGGAGTCCAGCACGAGTGAGGAAACCGTGAGCAAAACTGAAAATTGGGTGAAACGCTGAATCAAACGCGTCTTAGATCCCAGCTGGAACAATATCCAAATGGTTCATTGTGGCTCGTTAAGATGCTTCGCGCATTTCAAGTGTTTGTTTTTTGCGTGCTTTATGTTGTAATAATGAGTAGGTACTTTGACCATGTTCTGCAGCAAAAAATACATTGGCATTGGAACGATACCTACCCTTGTTTAGTTGAATTACGTTGACAGCAAAAGTAAGTGAAAACGCCGTCACTTAATTTTGCTCACTTCTGCTGTTGCTGTTAGTGAACACACAATCCGAAAATATCTTCTTTGAAATTGGTTCTTCCGCTCAGAATATTCAGTAAAATTTTGTCTGGGAAAATCAAAAAGCCCTAGGGCCGAATCGTTTCCCAAATACCTTCAACATTAGCCGAGGCGGGCCGAAGCCATTTCCCAAATGCACGTGCTAATGTTAAAGGGATATCTCGGCATGTGGTAAAAGCCGAAAATGGGAGCAATGATCTACGGGAATGCCGAAATTGATGTTTTGCTATTTTATCTCAAATTGTATCCAGAATTCGTCAAAGCTGACACGCGTTTCAAGAGCTAGAGGACGCTTGGTGCACACTGGAAGTTATAATTGTGTGATATAATAAGAAAAGGCCAGGTAAATCATTCCTTATGGTAACAGGCCGTTGTGTCGGTTAAAAGTGTAATTTGTGTGACTAAAAATACGCGTTGCTATTCTACAGCGGTAAAGTTCACGCAGCGTGCTTCAACGCGCGTAATTGCACGTTTTCGGCATTACCCCAGCCAGCCATACTTTCATTTGCAGGCCCATAACTTTTCAACGTGCTGTATAAATTTCAAATTGGCAGCACACTTATACCTACAAAGACGTGCTGAAGATTACTTGACCGAATTGGCCAGACAAACGGTAGCATAATGAGTAGGGAATGCAGCTTCGAAGACGCATGTAGTACAAAGGAAACGTACCTTGAAAACGCTCTTGGCGCCCTCACAGCCGAAGTATTCCGAATGACGACTGGTAACAAACATGCGATAATTGGTAGTCACTTAAGCTTCAGAGCATCACTGACAGGTGGCATCCATGTCGTACGGTTTTCGAAATATCTCGAATTTCGGCTTTGCCCCAACTCCGGCATTGCCCCAACTTCCCCTAGCTCATGCAACTGAAAAGTGGCCAAGATGAATGCCTGACGACACATTTGAATATAAATAATGTTTTTTATCCAGATGGAAACAACTTATGGCCAATTGGGGGGGGGGGGGGTGGCCACTTTGCCCCGGCCACTTTGCCCCGCGCGTACCGTCCGAGACAACAATATTCCAGCTTAGCTATTAGTGGGGTAAAAAACATTAAAATTGGTAGAATACATGTACGATAACCATGCAATGCATGGACAGGAACGCTTATAAAAATTTCAAACGGTTATGGAATAACATAACACTTAAAAATTGTAAACATAGTTGGTAACCTGGCAAGAAATGCTTTTTCGTGTTTCACAGAACAATGGTGATGGGCCTGAAACCCCGGTCTGGCTCATTCGAACGACCGTGAAGAGAAGTATAATTGGAAACCATAAATTGGAACTGACGCCAGCTATGAAGGGCTAAAACGATGGGTGGCCGCTTTGCCCCGGGTGGCCGCTTTGCCCCACTCTCCCCTACCTATTATTCTGTCGTACTGTGGAAGCGGTCATCGCAATAACCTTGCCCCACATTATATGCTGAAGTTAATACACTTTTATAGCCTGTAAGACTGCTGACTTGATACGATGCTGCAAACATGACAAAGAAATGCGTGATAAGTCATAAGCAACAACGTGTCGCATTATGACCGTCTCGAAAGCCTCTCGATCGGGCTGCAGACACAAACAGTGTGTGTGCGTGCGTGTAGTTGTGGCGATACCAATAACACAGCCTGCTGGCGCCGTAAGTGCGTGTATCCCCCCTCCTTCCGTGGGCTCTGTTGGAGCGCGGTGGGCGGGCCGGCGGGGCCAGTGCGCCGGCGCGCAGCACCGCCAATCGATAGCACACCTGCCAGTTGGAGCGGCACGCGGCAGACGGGTCGGCTCCAGCCCGGGGGCACATTCTGCCCGCGGTCACCGAGCGGCCACCGCGCTCGGCATGGCGCCGCCGCCGCCCGGCCGCACAGCCATGGTGATGCTGGTGACAGTGGTGGTGACGGTGATGGTGACGGTGTTGGTGCCCGGCGCGCACGGAAAGGTGCTCTTCGAGGCCGCGTTTCAAGGTGGGTGGATGGTGCGATCGGTGAGGGAGGTGTGGAGGGAGCATTGGTGTGGAGGGAGGCTACAGTGGCTTTGAATTGACGACCTAAGTAGTGTGAATGGTTGATGACTATTCTAATGCTCTTTTCCTTTGTTGAAGTTATTCCCCTGAAAGGACTCTTATGAAACACAAATAAAAAAATGGTGAGGTTATTACTGACTGCAAGTTTAGGCCCTATATTCTGGGCCATTATTTGATCAATTCAACTGCAATACGTTTTACGTCCTTCATATTATTCGATTGAAAGAGCCATTTCAACGCGTCGCTAAAACCGAAGACAGGGCTTAGGGGAGACTGGGGAGAAGTGGGACATCATTTTGATGTCAACTTTGAAAAATCGTAAAAAATAGAATATTTAAGATTTAAGTAAATTGATTGCATTTACTGGTAAACGGTTTATTTCTTCTTCATTCTTTACTGTTTTTATGCGTGTTTGTTCACGTGTTACTTCTCAAAATTAAATTTTAGGAAAGGTTGACAATGGGGTGAACTGGGACACGTCCAGGAGAAGTGGGACAGATGATGGGGAGAACTGGGACTGGTCGAGAAATGTGATTTAAATGGAATACAATAAAAATTTGATGACCCATCACGAAGAAGGTGTTTTTAAAGTTGACACCTAAAGAAATCACCTCGATTATCTTTTTTGAATTACACTGACAGCACTGAGTATCCTTGAAAAAAATTCCCATGCATTTGCATGCGGGAGAACTGGGACAGGGTTTAGGCACGTTGTCCCAGTTCTCCCCAAGTCGTCATTTTTATTTCAGCTGCTCTCCCACACAAAAAGTATAACAGATACATAAAAAAGTGTTTCTGCACGATTAAGATGACTTCACTGATATTCAAAGGTGAACGGCCTGAACATTTCACATCGCTGAATAAGCGGCAAATTGAATTAGAGTAAAATGCCAAAAAATCACATTTTAGACCCTAACTCAATATCTCAGAGACAGGCAACCGGAAAAGGAAACCGCTTGGCTGTGACGTGCCCAGACTAAATTCATGAGAAAATACGCAAAAACAAAATTGTTTGTCCAATCGGTCACTAAGATATTGAAGGTGTCCCACTTCTCCCGCGTCCCAGTTATCCCCACTCTCCCCTATTTGTATTAGGTATTTGTCGTCGCTGGTTACCGAAGCCGTTTTTGTAAATTGATGCCTCGCAACCATGAGCTGTTTGTTTTGTCACAGCTTATTGCATGTTCCGCCTTACGGCATTGCAGTTGACTTTATGGATCACGAGATGTAAACTTTCCGTCGCCATAGCAGCGAGCCGCACAACAAATTAAATTCGACACGCCATCAACAAAAGTCATTTTAACGGACATTTTGGGTGGCGCCTTTCACATGCCTTATTTCATAGACAATAAGATAAAAGTCCAACCTGGTAAAATTTATCAAAAAAGTCAGAGAAATCGAAAGTTGCGGAAGGTGAAGATCGACTGTAGTGTCCGAGGTTTTCGAGACGTGAAACATCCTCTCTGAAACACATCTTAGTCCGTAACATGTGTCTGACTCTGTCTCAAGTGTTTTCTCCGTTGCCTCTTTTATTCGAAAGTCCATGGAACATGAGCTCCGGTAAATGAAGTACCTAAGTTTTGGATCGCCAAGAGTATAAGCTAGGTGCCCACTCCATGTGTGAAAGAAAGAAACGAAGGGACAGGGGCGCGGGAACTACTTTCAGACTGCAGATGGCACACTATAATATAGATCACCATAGGGTACCCCAAATCTAGTTTTCTCATCGGGGATAGGCCACTTATTTTGCATTCCTTGGCTTTTTCAACAACAAAAAGAAAAAATTTGCAAAAAAGTGCGGTATTTTTATACGGCCCCAGAGTTGGGGGGGGGGGGGGGACAGGCCGCCCCCACTGCCCCCCCCCCCCCAGTTCCCGCGCCCATGCGAAGAGATAGAATGAAAGAGAAAACGCTGCGACGCTTTCCTTCTGTTCCCTCTCTAGGCTCGCTTGGTCCATTAGATTTTTAAAATGATAATGATAATGACAAAAAGAGGCAAGAGACCTAGGCAGAGTCAACAAGCGACCAGTGCATTACAGCGACTTGTGCGTAGGTAGGAAAGGGCATACCCTGGCAAACGGTCATCCTGCAGAGGGACATTCACTTTCTACAGCTCTGCACTCACTGCAGTTTTCTTGTCAGACAGAAACGGAAAACATCATCAATTACAAGAATGGGCGAATGCTGAGGATAGAAAAGGCGGATGACATTTTTTGATTGGAGATAAATCAAGCAAGTTAAAAATGAAGAGCGTTAGACGTTTCCGTTCCGTTTCCGTTCCGTTTCCGTTCCGTTTCCGTTCCGTTTCCGTTCCGTTTCCGTTCCGTTCCGTGTCCGTTCCGTTTCCGTTCCGTTTCTGTTCCGTTTCCGTTCCGTGTCTGACCGTGCCATCTGCCCGGCTCTCCGGCCCGTCGCTAATGTGCGTCAGCCCGGTCGGGACGGCGCGGCGCGGACCAGCTGATGGATGAGCTAGTGTCGCCCAACAATCGCCGGCGCCACCGCTGCTATAGGTGCGGCCGCTCCCAAAGGCGGGCGTTCGTGCCTCTGACCGGGTCGCACCATCAGTGGCGACCTGCCCGAGCCGGCACGATTAATGTTCCCGGCCGGCGACCGGATATTCAGAGCGGCCCCGAGAGCGACGCTCTTGGACTGCCCGCGTCACACCGACCAGCCAATATCGAAGTCGGCTCGGCGGCAGCCGTCCACCCCGTCAGTCAGCAGGCCAGTCGATATACCGTTTTAGAATGTCCAGCAGCGTCGCTGTCTGTTGGGAGACGCGGGCAGTGGAGACACGGACACGGGAGACATGGGAGCTGGGGGGGGGGGGGGGGCGCCGGCAGCCATTGATTTGGCGGCCCCCGGCGGTCGGCCGCTCATGAAGTGTCCCTGGTCGCGGGCTGGGACGGCAGAGTACACAGACACCGCCCTGGGCTGTGGACAGAGGCGGCGAGGGTAGAGGCCGTGGTTTGGAGCAGCTGCAGCTGACGGCTCGGGGCCCACGGTCGGACGAAACGGATAGTGCAGACCGCCGCACAGACCAAACAGACCCAACGGGCAGCGCTGTAGAGATCCCAGGGACACAGCCTGTACAGAGCAGAGCCCCGAAGAGCGCGCTACGCTGTACCATTATTCAGAATTTCAGACCCTAAGACAAACGGATCTATTACCGTAGGAGATGTATCACAAAAACTGCAGACCTGGGAGATGATGAGCATCTTTCCTCGGCCTTTTCATTTAAGAATCACCGTCTCGCTGCGCTCGCAGCCATTGTTCACCGTTCACGCCGAAAGGCAGACCGATTTCCTGGTCTGCAAAGCCGCGCTAATTTGTTCTTGTCAGAGCCAGCCCGTTCAAAAAGACGGCCGCACTTCTACCCTTCCCTAGCCCAACAAGATAGGGTGGGGGCTCGAGTTCAGCTCAGCTGAACTGAAATTTTACATAAATCGTATGATGGTGCGTTGGATGTGTCTGGAAGTTGTTGCTATCACGGTAGGACCGATGTTTCAGGATACATTTTACCAAACACAAAGGTGAATTTGCAGAATACCTTCTCCAAAGAAATTTAAAAAATTCATTCCAATAGCTTTGGCATTGTACTTAAGCAGACGCCTGCAGTTCAATCTTACCGGTGACTGCACGAGTCTTTGTGTGGTGTTTTCTGCGAGAGCAAGGCAAAGTTTCACTTGTTTGCTCAAAGTTCTGTTTTTCCTTATCCGTTCCAAGCACCTGGGCGGCTATTTTATCACCACTGTCTGTACTGTTCCGATTCGTCGGCGTCCTCTCGGGCCGGGTCCGATTCGGCGCCGTCCTCTCGGGTGTTGGCGGCACGTGCCTCGGAGCCAATCGATGAGAGGCCACCGTCTGCTGGGGAGCCGGTGGAGGGGAGCTCAGCCAGGGACGGCAGGGGAGGAGGGGACCAAGGAGGGGACCTCAGCCGCCGGCAGGGAGAGGAGGGACCTCAGCGAGGGGCGGCGGCGCCGGGAGCTCCCGGGTGGCCTCCGGCAGCCAGCAGCAGAAGGTTGCCGCTCCTGCCGTCCCCGCCGCGGATCCCAGTGCTCTCCGGGGAGCTCGGAGCCGGCAGGTCGATTCCCCGTCTCCGTCCCCTGGGAGAGGTGTTTATCCAATAGGAGGGAGTGGGACGAGGGCAGCCGCAGCGTGATGTTTTCTCCCGCCCCTCACCGGCACGTGCGGCCAAGTCTGCAAACAACGGCGCCGGGCCTGAGCTCTATTTTTCCACAGCTTTGCTTCCAATCTGGGCTGAGAGGAATGGGGGCATGAAATGGCTCGTGCGGCGATTTTAAGAGCATGATAAATATGTGTTAATATTTCTAGCCAAGGTCCTAAATTTTCTAGCCTATCCTCAGATTCGAATAATGGCTTACAAAGGTACAGCGTACCTACCGAGTTTGGTAGGTTTTTGACATTGGCCTGATCTGTATCTAAAGGCCTGTAAGATGTGCTTTGTCGTACCAAAAACGCTTTTCAATGTGATTGAAATATGATCAAGAGCTTTGAAAAAAGTCAGGTAGTTCTTACGCGTAGCTAATATTCAGATATCCAATTAGAATGCTTAGATACAATATGAGACTAACTATTTTTTATGTAGATTCTTAAAGATTTCTTCCTTTTAGCGTGCCCTATGGAACACGCGTCCTCAAGTCAGGATAGCTTAGCTGGTCTAATTGATCACCTTCGGCAGCGCTCACAGCCTACTCAAACGAACCACAAAGCGCGTACGAGTACTCCACTCCCCTGTATTGTAGCGGTGGCACAGATCGTCTGAGAGCATGTCATTCTGACATTTCTGACTGAAACCGTCCGCTGAATCCATTCTGAACGGCCTCAGCCCGGCCACTGCACTGCGGGATATGCACCGCAGTCATCGGCTAATGCATTCATATCGGTTTATGAAGCCGTCGACTCCAGACAGAGCTGTGACGTGCTCCAGAAGTTCTGACGTGGCTCTCTTACTGATGTATTAGTGTAGTTCATGGTAAATATGATTATTATTTCTGTGTTATATCCTGCTACCAGATAGTTCTAGGAATACAAACAGCGTATGTCTCGTTGCTTACAAGTTCATGCGCAATAATGCGCAGTGTACAGAGCAGCCTGGAGTAACCATTCAATTTGGTTGTTATGTGCTTATGAACTCCATTAGCTTTTTAAGTTGCTATGCATTGTGCTATCAGTAATGTCAATATATATTGATGTTTTGCAAGATCATCCGAGAGCAGCTTGTTTTGCAAGTACGAAGTTGCAATATTGTTTAAGGCTGTCAGGAAACGAACTGTTCGGCTTGGTCCCAGGCCTATGCACCGCTGTCGCCTATTTGCGGCGTCTTTGTTGCGACTCTAGGTCGACGTTTGCGTCACCGCGTCGTCTGGTTGCCTTGACAACGCCTATTGACGCCGCTCGACACACGGCAGTGGCAGCGCTCGGCTGAGTCGCTAACGGCAGGCTCAACTGAACGGCAGGCTCAACTGAACTGAGCGCCTGCGTCAACTGACGGGCCGCTGCCGGCTCACAACTGAGCGCCCGGCTCAACTGACTGGCCGCTGCCGGCTCACAACTGAGCGCCCGGCTCAACTGACCGGTGGCTGCCGACCTCACCTGGCCGGCGACCATAACGAGTCGGCTGTCCGACCGTCGCCCCCACGGCACCGACAGGTCACGCGATGGGGCCTTGAGAGCCGCTCATAGTCCGGCCAACAGCGACCGAGCGGCGGCACGACTTCCAGTGGCGTGCTGAGCGCGGTCGCCGTTTTTACCGAGCTCTGGCGTCTCGGCCGGTCGCGTCGGACTCCCGTATCGTCTGCGGCCGCTCGGCAGTAAAGTGGGGGCCGGTGACAGGGGCGCCGTTCGGCCGTCTCGCAGATCGGTGGGCCGTGACGGAAACAAGTCCGCTGGGACGGGTCGGGCTGGAAAACAGGCGGCCGCCGCCGACCAAGCCGTCTGCCAGTCGATTGGTGGGGGAGGGGGAAGGGGACTGAACACGGAACATGCACCGCCAGTGACGCTCAGACGGATCAGAAACCGCTAAACCGCAGCGAGCGTGTGCGTGTCACTGTCTTATTATCAGGCACGCATCAAGCGTTAGTCCGAGACGATCTGCAGGATGTCCCACGCTGCACAAGTAATTATACCGAGCAGTACGTAGGTCACCTTGGCCAGTAGGTATTTCCCAGTGATACGACCGGTAGTGATGTTGAACCTGTCACACCACTGCACATAGGGCCGATCGCCAGGTCTAGCACGACATGGGTAAAAAAAATCGAACTTTGTGGATGTGCAATGAAACCTATACCAATTTGTTCAAAAATGATCATACTACATTGCTGTGGTCTTTATTTTCCAACACAATGGCTATTTCATGGCGAAAACTCAGCTTAAACACGAACTTCGGAATCGTTTGGACCGAACTCGTCCCCCGCACTCTTCGACAACGTATCTTTGATCCACGAAAACAATCACAATTTGAGGAGGAATTCCACATTTATATACATCAAACGATAGCTCAGGGTCTGCAGAACACACCTAACCACATGAAAATGGCGAACTCTTACTTGGTTATGATGTATTGGCACCGCAAAGATTTAAAGACGAAAATATAATTTCACATAATTGATGTCACACACAAATAGACTTTTAAAAAAAAGTACCGCAAAGTACCGCTTCGAAAATCTCGCTACATGTCAACGATTCCTTGCACTACAAGATCCGACAGTCATTTTTTGCGACTTTTTGCGACTTTGGATGTAGCAGCCAAACATCAACCCGCGCCGAACCGGTGCTCGGCGTCAAACGCGCCGGGCCGGGAGGTGCTGATTGAACACTCCCCTTCTAACTCGGCTCTTGGGCCACATAGCGACACGTAGTAAGTGGCATTCGAAAGAGCGCCCGAAATTCCAGATGGAGTAATTAGTCATTTCTAGGTCAGGTCAAAGGTCACGTCACCAGAGGTCATCAAAGGTTGCATTTATCAACATTTATCGAAAACCGGCTCTTACATCGGGGACCAATAGAGCTACATCGTCGCGGAAAAGTGCATTCAATTGCTCTTTTAGCGGTCTTTCTGAAATAAGCCCTCAGATTTGGCTTAACCCTCGCCCCTAGTTGTGTTTTTCCAGCCGCGAACGTATAGAAGGGGTCCGTTGGACCCCCCGCCGTTTCGCCCCTGATCGAGCTAGAGCTTCGCGGAAAAGACGAGCGTGTTGCCCGTGACAAGAGGAAGCTGATGATACCCAATTGTAAGGTCCTAGGTCATCGATTGACCTTCCAGGTCAGGTCAATGACCCAAAAGTCGGGAAAATCGGGACCTGTTAGAACGTCGTAAAGGGTGGCTGCTATGGTTTTTTTGGGTGCTGATCACGAATATAATATTATTTACGGTCATAGATGATGTCTTCATACATTAAGGCCAGGTCGGGTCAGGTCAGGTCAGGTCAACTACTAAGGGTTTTGCCGGGTATTTGCAGTAGGTGGCAACCGCCTCTGACAGCTTTGTAACATGTTACGAAGGCACCAAAGCTACATAGTAAATATTCAAATGGTTGCTAGATTCGAATTCAGCTCCAAAAACTAGCCTAGAAACATGTAAAACTCGAAAAAGTGAACCAAGGTCATCAAAGGTCAATGACCTTACCTGACCTTCTGGTGACCTTGACACCCATTCTAATGCATGGGAGCAACATAATATCCCATGTTTGAACGCTTTAAACCAAGAAAAGACTGCAAACCAGCGGCTAATGCGAGCCGACATACGCTGAATCGCGATTCCGGCCAAACATGGTCTCGACAGAAGGTCACAGGTCAAAGATCATGAAGGTCAGGGTCATGAAATTTTCAGCTTAGCTGTAAAAGTAGTTATCGCGAGGGTACTGAAAGTTTCGTTGCGATCGGCCGCTTTTTACGTGAATTACTCGCGAAAAACCAAGGGTTCCGTTCGAAGATTCAGGCCCTGTCGCGCTAGAATGGCATATCGGCCCACTGTGCACTGGTCACTGATCGTGGCAATGCAGGCTTCAAAAAAGTATTTTTGCCATATGTGGCAAAAATAGTTTTATGTACAAAGTAGGTAGGTGTACTACTTACATGTAAATGTACCTACTTGTCTACTTACCTACCTACTTACATATAAGTGTGTAAGTGCACCATAAGTACAGGTGGCTGGTGGCCGCAAGAGCACAGAGCTCTAAGTCTTATCTACATATAAATGTATGTGTTATTTTGTACATGTATTGTACACTGCACATGGCACACAATGCAACTTGCAGATCACACAGTGACCAGGTGAATAAATTTCATCCTTTCTACGCATTGCCTGTTTTGCGTTTCTGGCCCCACAACCCAATCCAGTGAAACGGTTATGCCAACTGTTGCCTTGAATCAAATAGTTATAACGTATCGCCTCACGTTGAGCTCGCAGCCCGCCTGCAGATACAGGGATTGGGCAATCCATTTGGTGGTCGTACGATCAAAACACTATTCACGAGCGTGCCTTTCTCGCCCGAGACTCGCTCTGTCGGCAGCACAGTGGATGTTTTTGAGCAAATAGCAGTGTGGAGTGAGCGAGACATAACGGCACTCACATCCATACCACATGTTTTTGCGCCGGTGGCCCAGACTACGAACTGCAAAAATTTTCCTCACCCTGGGATGACAAGGTGGGGTTAGCGGGGATACGAGTCGGCCAAATACCGCACCTCCCCGGCTGTTTTCTGCGGGACGGAGCAATAACACGGCTGTTCTTGCGGAATTACACGAGCGCAGCCAGGTTGTTGGCTCCAACAACAGTTGACGCGCGTGCCGTGTTCTGCCTGTTGTTCTTCTGAAGCGAGTGACACCGAAAGATATGTATCTAACGCTATGTATAATTCGATTGACAAGTTTCGAAAAGCAGGTAGATAATAAGCAAATAATGCAAATGAATAAACGAAACCAACAAAACGCAAAAAAATGTTTTTGGCGGAAATAACCAAGAAATACCCGTCACGATGCAATATGTTAAAACGTAATAAAAAGTTAGCACATCGTCCACGTACTTGAAACTTCATTGCTCGTTACAAGTTATGGCGGATTGTCGTGCCCGTCCGTCAAAGTCTCTTTCGTCTGACCGGTGTCTCTCCACTATTTCAGGCACCTGTTCACACGGCAGCGCGTGTGACCACACGTGCTTCAACCTCCACGACGGCACCTACGAGTGCGACTGCAGGCCCGGCTACGTGCTGAACGACAACGGGTACACCTGCGACCGTGAGTAGAGCGGCGCCCTCGGCAGTCTAGGCTGCACGGGGACGGTAGAATGTCGACTGTCAGTGGCGTGGGACCCTCTGTGGGTGCTTGCAGGCTCCTGTACGTACAGTATCCCAAACAATAGGCATGTTCCGCTTACCTATACCGCTTCCCTATGCTGGGGTATGGGCGAGTTTTGTTCCAGCTTACGCGTTTCTTTGTCGTTTGTGCGTGTGAGTTTTCCCTATCGTCTAGCCATCCACACCCCTCTCGGTCACTCACCGGGAAGCCCTCCTCCGGGGGGGGACTGGGGGGGGGGGCGCTGCGGGGCTTCCCGTGACTCAGCCATATCTTCTGTCCGTGCTACCGCGGCCTCGTGGACGATATTGCGCCGGGGCCGCGGCGACCGCCGCCAAATCAGTCCCGCCGACTGCCTATCAGATGGAACAGGACTGGCGGACAGAGCCATGATTGTATTTGGCACGCACCACGGGACGCCCCGCCCCTGTGGGAGCCCAATGACGGACTGACAGACAGATCTGGGACAGGACGGGACGGGACTGGGACTGGGACAGGACAGGACGGGACTGCGACAGGACGGGACTGGGACAGGACGGGACTGGGACAGGACGGGACTGGGACAGGACTGGAACCGCGACAGGACGGGACTGGGACAGAACGGGACTGGGACAGGACGGGACTGGGACAGGACGGGACCAGACGGGAAGGGATGGGACTGGGACAGCACGGGACTGGGACAGGACGGGACTGGGACAGCACGGGACTGGAACAGGACGGGACCGGGACATGGGACGGGACGGGGCACGGACAGGACGGGACTGGGACAGGACGGGACTGGGATATAACGGGAGTGGGACAGGACGGGACTGGGACAGGACGGAACTGGGACAGGACGGGACTGGGACAGGACGGAACTGGGACAGGACGGGACTGGGACAGGACGGGACTGGGACAGGACGGGACCGGAACAGGTAGGGGACTGGGACAGGACGGGACTGGGACAGGACGGGACTGGGACAGGACGGGACTGGGACAGGACGGGACTGAGACAGGACGGGACTGGGACAGGACGGGACTGGGACAGGACGGGACTGGGACAGGACGGGACCGGAACAGGTAGGGGACTGGGACAGCACGGTACTGGGACAGGACGGGACTGGGACAGGACGGGACTGGGACAGGACGGGACTGGGACAGGACGGGACTGAGACAGGACGGGACTGGGACAGGACGGGACTGGGACAGGACGGGACTGGGACAGGACGGGACTGGAACAGGACGGGACTGGGACAGGACGGGACTGGGACAGGACGGGACTGGGACAGGACGGGACTGGGACAGGACGGGACTGGGACAGGTAGGGACTGGGACAGGACGGGACTGGGACAGGACGGGACTGGGACAGGACGGGACTGGGACAGAACGGGACTGGGACAGGACGGGACTGGGACAGGACGGGACTGGGACAGGACGGGACTGGGACAGAACGGGACTGGGACAGGACGGGACTGGGACAGCACTGGAACCGCGACAGTACGGGACACTCCGGCACCAGCCAGTCTTCAGGGCCGCGGTGCGGAGCTGATTGCCTCGCCTTCGTGTGTGTGGGGCGGGCGCGTTAGTGGGCGGGGAGCTCCGGCCGTGCGTAAAGGTGATTGTGGTGTGCGGTGGCTGCCAGATTGGCCGGGAGGTGGGAGCACTGATGAGCGAGCGATGAGCGTCGCATTAATTTGCCCAGCACCTCGTCCTAATGTTTCGTCCCACTGCATAGCCACAACGCTGACGCGGCGGACGCGGCGGTAGTGCTCTGCGCTGGTAGGCTGGCCCGCAATACTCTGCTGTAGCGCGGCACAGTCTACCAAGACCGACACGTTCTCCGCTATCCACGCAGTCCGCAGCAACACGTGAATACGGGCGCCGTCTCCGGCTGAAAGAGGAGAGGGCGTTTCTCCTGGGCGCACCATCGTTCTTTTCCTCAGACTTTTCATTTCCTGCCTAAGATGAAATCTGGCTGAGGCTCAAAAGCCAGACAAGCGTGCAATAAGGCACGGTACCTGCAATCTAAATATAAAACAGGGTGTTATTTGGTGTTTCACACTTGCGTATTGATACATTTAGTGGCATGTTATGTATCTTTGTAGCTTTCACCGCTGTAACTAATTTTGTTTTTCACTGCCGATTTTACACATGTTGTCTTTGCACACTGCACAGGCCCGCTAATTTTGTTGTTTTCAAGCGCAGCGGGATCGTTGATAACAGAATCACCACGAATCCCCATTCCCCATGCAACCACGCCTTAACCCTCGCCCTGGCAGGGGGGTCGATGCGACCTCCCCCCCCTAAGGTTTTTCGAAGATAGCGTAAAAACGGCGGCGCGCAGCGCCGCCAAATTTGGCACAGCCTATGGGGCAACCTTTTTACATATGACCTGAGAATTTCAGGTCCGGGTGACCTTGGGTCAGGTCACCAGTTCAGAAAAACCGGTACAAGGTCATGGTCAAATTTCAATTTTCTTTTTGCACCTGTCCAACTCACAGTTTTGGACTGATTTCCTTCAAACTTTCAGGATGTGCCAAGTTCACCGAGTTGTATAACATATAGTTCGGGTTTTTTTAGGTCACTGACCTGAGGTCAGTTAGAGGTCATTACGTCGTAATGTTAAGCCTATGGGAAAATACTAAATTCGGAAAATACTGGAGATATCCGCTTCGTTCTATCACTTTTGTGCTTTGAAACCACAGTACTTAACAGCAGGTCACTTGGTGCTTCTTTGTTTGGTGTACTTATCCATGGGTCAGGTCAAATGAGGTCAACTGAGGTCAAATGACGTTTTTGCCAATAACTTGGCACATAACGACGCTAGAGCTTACAAAATGGTATCATTGTGTTCCTAGTGATCAGCCGAATCGAATGATATGCGATATGATGCAATTTGGTTAACTTGAACTTAATTTATCAATTTAAGTTTACTTAAAATTTAAGAAAAACTTTAAGTACACTTAACCCGCGCCCCACATTTATAGCCCCCCCCCTCCCGTTTTTCTGCCATAACTTCCAAACCGCTTGACGTATCGACGCCAAACTTTAAGTACCTTCGGCTGCATCCATTTGACACCTTGTGTCAAAATTTGAACTTCGTACCTACCATAGGTCGGCCGGAAATGACGTCAGAGTGACGTCATGTTCGGCCGATTTCGACGCAAAACATTGAACCACGGCAATCGCTCCCAAGAGCTCAGTTTTTAAGCTAGATCCAATTTCTTTGCATGAGAGGACTCAGAATAGACTGCGCTATCAAACTGCTATCTCGGATTTTCGAAATTTTGAAAATTTCGAAAATTTGATATAATAAAATTCAAAACTTATATTTTTACATTTTTTTTCAAACATTTTTTGACTTCTCGAAAAAACCGGAATATATGTGATAGAACGCATTTTTATGACTAACTCTAGCAAGTTTTAGCTAAATATCTTCAAAAATGGCCAAGTTATACGCATTATTGCCAAAAATTAACAATTATTGATTTTTCAAATCAATTTTTCTGCACGAATTTGACATCGTACGCCAATATAAATAGCACCATCGTGTTCCTGAGCTCCAACTGCATCCAATAGACATATTTTTTGTTGAAAAATTTTAACTTAAAAATTTGACCTTTTTTGACCTAACCCTAGAACGCCTAGGGGGGTTGTATCAACCCCCCCCCCCCGAGGTTTTTCTTAGCTACACGCCGAACCGTTTCAGATAGCCTGCTCAAATTTTCAGTACCCTTTGGGGCATCCTTTGCGCAACTTTTGGTAATTTTTTGTCAAGGTCATGTCAGGTCACGGAGTTATGACGTCATAAAGGGAACAACCTCCGGCCAGATTTACGCTAAATTGGAGATTGCTTCACATTGGTATAAATGCCGACTGCCCTGACGCACTGATGGATTGTTTTATAGAATCACAACTGGCTGATTTGACATTGGCACAATGTCCGTTGACATTTTGAAGGTCACTAAAGGTCAAGGTAAGGTCATTGACCTCGGTTGACCTGTAATGACTTCTTGTGTTTATGTGTTTATTAGGACCAAGACACCCACAGGCACAAAGAGCCCACTTACGGATGCAGTCACATAACTAAAAAGGCACTTGTACTTGTACTTGCACTTGTATGCCATTTCGGGGTATTTTGATGCCCTAAATTCGAATTTGCTATCCATTTCAGGCATCGTCGGTTGTTTCTTGTAGTTCATTTTGGGTCAGGGTCAGGTCAGTGACGTCACACGCCTGACGTGACCCAATGGACAAATGACCTTGCAGACTTCCGATGCTCCCAACGCATCATTTTTAAAGTTATGACATCGAAATACACACCAAACGATAGAGAATTGATCAAGGATCACGTTAGTGAAGGTTTCAAGTCGATATCTCTTACCGTTTTGCCGCAATCGGCGCGGAAATCTGAAAAAGTTAGATTTTTCCGAAAATTTGACCTTTGACCGGTCATAAGTAGGTCAAATGTTGACCTAGGACCAAAAAATATACCACCAATCGCGAGATCTCGTTGAGAGCAATCCGTTGGTTTTTTCCGCTAAGCTCTACGACCTTCCGTTTCGAAACGCCAGGGGGGGTCGTAACAACCCCCCTGGTCGTTCGTGTTATGAGAAATGGCCTGGTCGTGCGAGGGCTAAAAGTGACCTGACCTAAGCTAAATTTGACTCAAAATGACCTCGCATGACACAGACGACATCAAATTCGAAATGTTTGGCCTAAATGGACCATAAAACATGTGTCACGTGACCGACGGATGATATAATATTTTCGTGACCCGTGATGACCTGACCTTGACCTGAAAATCAAAGTACAAGTTTGGTACCCTCAGAGTATCTAGAGCATCTGTTCACGAGTGTGTGAACCAAAAATGAGCCTGATCTGACTTGTAAGACGGCGGCTAGAGCCCAAAACGTGAAGAAGCCAAAATGCTAATAATTTTTACTTTGACCTGACCTGTGACGTCATCAGTGACCTCGAGGTCAATGAAATTAGGTTTCGCCCGACAGTTTTTCCGGGGCTATCAGACGCCGTTTGAATTTTGACGATCGCCCAGTAGTTTCGGAGTTAGGAGGGGGGGCTATGAATAGCCCCCCCCCCCCCCCAGTAGGGCGTGTTATACGCAGACCCCAGTGGGGCGCGGGTTAAGCAGGCTAAAAAGTATATCATTCGACGCGCCTTGACGTGCTGAGTTCACTGGTGCTTTTCTTTTTGCGCTATCTTAATTAGATCAAAAGCTATAAGCGAAAAACTTTTGACCTGTTTTTAGCGAAATTTTTACATTTATACCCCCCAAAACCCCCCTAAATATTGACCTAGAGCAACCAAATTTGCACAGGGGAGAGAACTTCAGGGGGCCCACCTACCTACCAAATTTGGTGTTTCTAGGTGCCATAGGAGCCAATCGCGAGGGGGGGGGCATAGGCGTCGCCAGACATTTTCGGTTGGGGGGCAAAATCATGTTTTGTGTTAAATCTTGCCTTTCCCCAGCCGTTACTCACTCGTTTTACATATCATTCGACGCGCAATGGTGCGAGGAATCCGATGGTGACAAAGTTTTCCTTCTAGCTATAGCATGTATTTTTTTACAAAAAAAAATCAAAATTTTGACATTTCTGGACAAAAACGACCGTTAGAATTACAGTGGCTGCGATTGCCGACGCACTGCAGAGGGCCCCTGTGCAGACTCTCGTCGCTCATGATCATTACCCAGAAGAAGGTGAAAAACGCTCCATTTGAATCGGATCACCTCGCTAAAACCTCCATTCACGCATGCTTGCCGAGGTTTTACGTGAAATGCATAGGGCTTATCCCAGCCGCCGATTGTAGCTAAGAATTGGGCATTCGGCGGAGACTGAGAGAGAATGTCGGAAGTGTGAATCGAAAGTACATCATTCATCCTTGCTGCAGTGAGAAGAAGTGTTTTGTTCACTCGAGTGTGAACAAAAAGTTTCTGGTTTTTCGAGTGAAGGGAAGCGCTGCAAACGCGACCAAAAATATTTAACGGAACCAAAAGTTACGCACGGCATGGCGGCAAGAGAGATAGGATTGCGACTTCCAGGCCATTTCAGGCCACTCAGGGTCAGTATGGACTCTCAGAAGCCTACTTAGGATCCCGGAGATCGGCGTTGGTCACCCCAAATATTTACGTGTATGTGGTGCTTTAGGGCTTTCCGAGCCTAAGGTGGGCCCGGAAAGCCCTTTAGGGCACACGAGCTTTCAGAAGCCAGTGTGGGCGGCGGGCGCTAAGAGACTAGGCCCAGGGTGAGCCTGGAGCCCTCGAATAACAGTGTGAACCGTCGGGGTCTGTGTCGAATCCTTAAGGACCTTACGTTGGTAGGGACATAAGAAACATGTGTTGCGGCCCTCAGAGGGACACGTGAGTTGTGACCCCTCAGATGCCGGGTTGGGGTTAGTAAAGCCTGTCGCCTCAAAAGTTCGGCTGAACTATCATAGGCCAGTTGAGGTTTTCAGAAATTTTCGAAGGCATCCTCAAAGATTCGTGTGGCCCTTCAGAGGTCTACGTATGTATAATGTCCTCAAAGATCCCTGTATGGGCCCTCTAGAGAACATGGACACCAGTGGGACTCTCAGAGGCCGGTTTGGGCCCTCCGAAAGCTTCTTAGAGCTCAGTGGAGCTCCTTATTGTGTGAATAGCAGGCTCATGAGCCCTGCGGCACTTGAACGGTACTTGTGCCTGTCGCAGACATTTGACGAGAGTTGAGAAAGGCCCCGAAGATTTCGTGTCACGCTTTGAACGTAAATTATGTGTCAGTCAGCACTCCAAAATTTATGAAAATCAGCTACAAAATGTAATAAAGAACCAACTAGGAACATGGCATGAATCATGGCATTGACATTTCCGAGTCGAGAGTCGGAGTCTTGAAGATTTTGGCGACTGCGACTCTGACTTTGGTTTGAACTGCACGCTCCAACAGAGTCTGACCTCACAGGCATTCTCAGAAAGGTACCCCATTTTTCCCAGACTCCAAAATCTCATCGGATCTGTATCGATCTCAGGGGGTGCCCGGTCCGAGGTTGGGGGACGCTAATGGGGGGGGGGGGTCGGCGGTCGCATCGACCCCCCTGCCAGGCCGTGTTATGAAAAATGCCCTGCCAGGGCGAGGGTTAAGAACCCACGTTTCATAAGCTACAAATTGTTTACGTTTGACCTTTACGAAGCGTTTTAGTTGAGTTGTTCTCGAAAATAGGCACCTTTGGTTCTTACTCCTAGCATGCTTCCTTGCACATTTCTGAGCCTGTTCATGTCTTTGGTAAAATGAAAATGCCCCTTGGCGTTATTCCTTGTTAAGATCAGTCAGCTACCTCCGTTTAACACATGTATGCCTTCCTCTTTGCACGCTCCTAGTTCGCTCGCTCCGATGCCCTCCCCCTCCTCCTCTCAGCCCTCCTCTCGGCCCTCCTCCCTCTGTCTGCAGAGCGCGGCGGGCGCCCGAGGGTGCTGAGGCGGCGCCGGCCGCGGACGGTTTCAATTACACCTCGGCCCGAGGCTGCACGGCTCGTGCTCCCAGCTCGAGGCGCAGGCTGCGCGGATCTCAGGAGATGGTTTTGGCAGAGCTCTCAGACGCCGTCTCACAGAACAGTTAAAGCTGTTAGCTGTTTAGTGTATAAAACAAGTAGTGATTCCGACGAAAAAGTGGAGACAAATTGATGCATAGTGGCCGCGACCTACAACTAAATGAGTCTTTTTTAGCAGTATTAATGAGTAAGAAAATGACAACCAGCCAGTGCTGCGTATTTCCGACCTCTGTCTGGTCGACTTTCGCCGATTCATAGATACTGTTCAGTGCACGAGAACATGCATTTGAACAGACACTGTCGACAATGCTACAAAAACGTAAAAAAAAATATTGCAGTGACCTTTCGTAATAATCTGGATCGGCCAGTGGTCGACGGGAGCATGAGAAGTTGAAAAAGTTTTACACAACAAAATGATAATTCGAATCAGCCGAAACTGTTCAGCGCACGGCGTGGGATGCTCCTGCGACAGCAAAAAGGCGGTAATTGCCGGAGTGATGTATGGTGGTGTTATGAGATCGATGTGATCCCCAGAGGCCTCATGAGACACCCGTCCAGACGCGCGCTGGGTGAGGCCCTTGGCGGCGCTGAGCGAGTGGGCCTTTTACCACAGCGAGCGGCCCATCAATACCACAGGAGGGCTACCTGCCCGGGCCGTCCTCTCCCTGAGGGACGCTCCCAGTGTCACAGAGGACCGCCATCGTCCCCATCCCCACCGAGCGACCTACCAGAGCAGCAAAAACGACCTGGCCGCCGCCGCAGCCGGCGACAGGGCCGCGAAATATGGCAGCCCGGGCCGGCAGGAGAGGCATTCTGGCCAGATATGGCAGCCATCTGCTCCGGACCAGAAGAGCGCCAGTGACAGAACCGGACAAGTTACGATAAGAGAACCACTGGTCCCATGATGAAGGGTTTCATAAGAGAAGATGGCTAAGGGAAATGGGATTCATGGTGACTTCAATCTGTCTACGGGACAGCGCGCTGTGACGGTCGAAGTGACATCATTTCAACACATTGCATCGCCTCAAATATACGATGCCGCTGTGGGGACCGTCTAAAACCACTCAGTGCTAAAACATCCATCAAGACTGCGCCTAGTGCTTAAGATATAAACCAACCATTTCAGTCAAAACTCCAACAAAGCAAAGATACAAGAGTCGACTTTCACTCAAATATTTCCGATACTTGCTCACGCGCTCAGATATTACCGATACCTACCGGTACCAGCCACCAGTTAAATGGATGATGCAAATGCCGTGCAAAAAAAGACCGCAGGTCCATCGGTCTCGCGCGGTTACTGAGCTGTAAGCTTCTAGTAAGCATTACAGGCCGGGCCGGCCTGTTCATATGAAGTATTTTTCCGTTATATTGGAAAGACTCGCTTCGCGCTTGCTCGTAACAACAACTGAAATATTGTTCGTCACGATCTTCCCTTTCTCATAAGACATAAGGCATTGGCTTATTCAGATGCTTGTTCTGTGTTCAAAATCAATATTTTATCAAAGACCGCTAAAGTGAAACAGCATAGAAGCAAGTTGAATTCGAGTATTCTCTCAGAAGTCAGATGTCATGCAATATGTAGATATGCATCACCATGACCATTCTCTACCCACATTCAGAATCTCGACTACAAATGACTGCATCACGGCTAATTAAACAATCTCGCGGCCTACTTAACCTCTCCCAGAAACGACTCGGAGAGTCGTCAGGAGCGGCGTCAATTGCCGGCTGGACCACCGCCAACTAATGCACTACCCTGAGAGCGACATTCTGTTCCGACCGCGCCGCCCCTCATGTCGCGCTCCAAATGGTCGGCTCGGTTCAGCTGCGGAGTGGACTGTTCTTTGGGGCGCGTCCACTGCCCCCCCCCCCTCACCCTCACCGGCTCCTCGTCCCTTCGACAAGGACGACGGCTGACCCTAAACCTGCTGACTGGTCTAATATGTCGGAAATATTTAGGTCGAATAACTTTTTACCTCAATGCAACGCAAAAGGAAATAGAGAAACATGATGGTCCAATCCTCTCTTCCAGCGGAGGTGACCGTCTTTCCCAGCCATCCCTGCTGACTGACACTCCCCTGATGTTCCAGCGGTGGTGACAACTGACAGTAACCCCAGCCCAGCTAACTGATTGGTTAATGGTTATTCCCTGCTGTAAATACCAGCGAAGGTGACTTTCCGCCCCATCCCCGCTGACTGACCATCCCTTGTCGTTCCAGCGGTGGTGACTGCCGCTCCCAGTCCCGTGGAACACACCACGGCGTCCCCTGCCAGTCGCGCCGCGCCGCAGTCACTCAGAGAGAGGCTGAACACTACAGACGATGTGCCTACCGGCTGTGACCTGGCCTGTGTGGCGGGCCAGTGTGTCACAGAGGAGGGGGCGGCGGCCGGTGGACCGACCCAGCGCTGTGCCTGTCCACTGGGGGTCGGCGGCGACCTTTGCCAAACAGGTGAGCGGTGACGGATGACTATGACAAGTCTGAATGGCATTTAGGTATTACCAACCATCCAATATTCTTTTTTGTCATAATCAAATGTGACAACTGTGTCAGAATGCTGCAGTAATTGCATATGAGTATGTTTATTATTGTGAACCCTTACGTCATGTTACATTGACCCTTCATTTTTATAAAAATATAGCTCAATTTAGAGAGTTTTTGTTTTGGTTTTTTTCTTTGTTAAAGCTTTTTACTCCGTGTTGTTGAGCTCCCAGTTTGGTCTGAGTTGCGGCGGGCCGCTGGTTTTGCGGTCGCCACTCGACTGATAGCACCCTTACAGTCAGCTCCAGCCTCAGCTCGTTATTTTGCTAGTTTGCTAGTTGGGAGCAGGCACAAACATTTTACATTGGACTGTTTGGTATGGGCAATAATATTTTGCTAAGATTCAATAATGGATGAATTGTATATGATTGTATAAATCGTTAGTGCTGTGGTTTTTGTTTAATTCGGAGATTCGGGAGGCCATTAAATCGTCATCAGGTTTGATAGCCTGTGATAAAAGGCAAAAAAATATTATTACTTTCAATTGTCTTTTTTGTGTTATTGTATAGCATATGTTATTTGACGTTTCCTTTACATTGGCCTTATAATGGATAGCAAACACATTTACGAAGAGGTGCAAAAATTTTCATTTAACTCTGCATCACCATTGGCCAAATATTGTAACCATATTGCAATGAAATAGTTTCCATTCGTGATCTATCAGTCACTTGTTTATACCATCGGTGTGTCTATCGCCATCAGTGTCGCTCTGCGCCGATCGCGGGTCATTTTCGTGACTAACGATCCGGGCCACCATTGGTTACACAGCACCCGTTCCCGTGCCGCTGCGGTGGTAGCCAGGTCACCGTTCCGCCGCGGACCCGCGCGCTGTCGGCCCGGCCAGCCAGCACTGCTGCCGGGCTGGGGTTTCCTCCCGACAGCCGAGCACGGGGCGCTGAACGTTCGCTGAAGAGCAGGGACCGCGGCGGCCGCGGTGGGCTCGTACCGCTCGGCGTTAATAAATGACGCCGCTGGCACGGGGCCGCCGTCTGCCGGGTCGGCGAATATTCCGATTGATCGCTAACGGTTGGACCGGACTGGAGCGGGGGGCGGCTACCCGGACTGAGGTAGCGGACTGACGGAACTATAACTCGCCAGACTCAATACATAGACGGACTGACCAAACTAGCTCACCGGACTGAGTATGCCGAACTGACGGAACTAACTCACTGTATTGAGTAGCCGACTCGCCGCGCTGGTGTGGCGGGCGAGACACCGGGCTGAGAAGGCGACAGGTCCACTGGACTGGGACTGAGACCTACGAGCAATATATGATGGGCCGTGTCGCTCAGACTGAGACTGAGGGGACTGATTGGATGTTTGGCCTAAATCAAGCCGAATGGCGCGAGTCAATGCCATTGCCGACTAAGTGCAGATGGAAGCGTGAATTGAGATCTGCCTTTTTCAACTGAAACACGCTGAACCCCACATCTTTGTGAGCTGTTTTCTGTTTTTAGGACCTCCATTTGGATACACGACTTTACTAACAACAATCCTCGAGCCGGTGTCATGTGGCAGAAAATCTTTCAAGCTGGGTAAATCCCGTTCGGCAGCCGTGTCTCCGATGTTTGGTGGTAGCTATGTTATTACTCGACCCTCGGTGAGTCTGTCACCGCCCAGTCGCCCTAGACCGGGTGTTAGTTACGACCTGTTACATACATCAACCGCTCGTTACTGTCCAACACAGTGCCGTTTGCGCGCATTGCCATGCCGCCGTGGCCGGCACGGAACACGGCCCGTGGCATGTTTGCGGCCAAAAGTTGGCCCGTCCGAGCGGCAACTGTGCTCGTCTGTTATCGAGGCGACATCGGAAATTGTGTGCCCCGCCGCTGCGCCGACCAATGCGGGAATTGGCCATTTGTTCCGACCGCGAAACGAGCTGGTGGAGCTCGGATACTGCTTGGGTCAGATGAGGTGGCGAGGAAGTTGTCCATGGAATTGAATAATGCATGTGTTGGCTGCTGTAGGTATTTCGACATTATTGTGACATTACATGTCGATGAATACTGAATTTGTTTTGTTGCATAAACAGCCACACCTTTTACATAAGCTGGTGAACTACTACCTGTTCATACCAGCTTCCTGCATGACCATTGGTTGATTTACATGGCTTTAAACAATGCATGTGAGGCTGCCCCCCATCTCCGGGTAATATGAGGATATTGTGCCTTTTTCTCGCTGGTAACATAATTTTTGCGTTCCGTTGTCAACAACCTCTTCATTTTTCATTAATTTCTTACAAATACCAAACTAACGTAAGTGGGAAAGTTTTTCCGTGTTCGTTGTTAGGCATCGACTTTAACCATTGTTTCGTCCATACAACAAAGAAAAATCGATTTACATTGGACAACTACTTTTAATAACTATCTTATATTGGTTGCACACAATGTATGGGCTACGTCAGCAGAATTCCCTTACAATGCACCCACCAGCTCTGACCTCGGTCGGCAGTCTAATATGCCTGCCATTAGTGAACTAATTCGTTCATAGGGATCAGTATAATGAATTTATGCCCTCGAGCTCCGCAGAGATTGTCGGAGAAAACGTTCTGAGGAGCTGGAAATAATTCGGCGAAAACTGCTGTCAACTAGGTCATCAGTTATGCTGGTCTTGGTGATAGGTAATGTTTTTATCATCATAAGTTCTTGTTGTATAATGTATTTGAAGAAAAAGAAACTGAAAAGACAAACAGGAAAAGGAAAACTGGGGCCTTTCCCTTCTGTTGACTGTCCCGACTATGGCCTGTACCAGCGGCTGACTGTTCCGACTACTGGCCTGTCCCAACTGTCGACTGTCCCCACCAGTCTGTCCCGATTATACGCACGGACTGTCCCGACTATGCAGGCTGTCCCAGCGGTCGACGGCCTCGGCAGAGGACGGTTCTCGACACGAACATTCCTGTGAGCACAGGTTCCGCTGCTGGCTACTGGTTGTCCCATGGGTTACTACCGCGCCGTGAGCAGAGGTTCCGCTGCTGGGGCTAGCTGGGCGTCCCCGGGACGATAACCGGACCGGGAACTCGCCATTTACGACCCTAATCTGCAGCGAGTGGAGAGCGCGGCGGTGCGCTCTGATCGAGATGGAGGCGACAGGGGACGGATCGGAGTGGCCCGTGTGTGCCGAGTGATGTACTCTAAACCACCCTAAATAAAGTTGTAAAGGATCTTCAATGGATGTAAAACAGCAATTGATTGGTGAGTTTTGTAATACGTTTGCTCGTTTAACATGTACGAAAAGGTCAGTGAATATGCTATGCATATTTCTACGCTTATATTTGATGGACGCAGGTGAAAGCAAAATTTATCTTCTTTACATTTTATGCATTTAAATGAGTTTAAACTAAGAAGTTATGATAGCAGACAGGCATAATACAATGTTGTTAGTCAAAAGTCGTCTGCGTGGTGATAAATGACCGCTGGTCATAATAATCCCGGGGAAGTTTTATAGCGTGCCTGAACAGCATGCTATATTTTATATAAAATCGACAAAACAGCATGCAGGACAACTGCTCTACTAGATATTCTCGGACCTGATCCTAGGATAATTGGAGACGTGGCGTGTCCATGTTGTGATGGATTACCGGATTTCCTGTGACGTGGATCCGGCCGTAATTGGGGACGAGAACGAGCTGATCTAGTAAATACGGCAGCGTTCCTCGGTACCATGCTGCAGAGGTCAGCTACTCCCCCCCCCCGCACGTGTTCTACGGTCAGAGCTAATCTGACCCCGGGGAAATTCGCACTGCGTTTCCGCTGCTCCCGGTGAGGCCTGGATAGATTATGGAGGTGCGTCTCTCCTGCTGCGGCTAATGTCGCTGTACTGAGGTCGGCGTATGAGAGATCGAGGTAGAATCTGCTGGCTGTACAGAAGTGCATGGCTAGCCAGGGAATACTCTGGCGTCTGCTGTCTGCCGTGTGTTTTGTGTCCGACCTTCGCAGGCGATAGGGCGAATTATTTGAGTTACCCACATGCTACGATACGGATAGGTGCGCTATCCTGAATAAAAGTCCGTGCCTTGCTGCTTACGTGCAATGAACATTGAACACTGAACAGCCAATTCTCTTAGGATGGTGATAGATGTTGCAACTTGCAGCCTTACTCGCTGCCAATTCATCGTAACCAGTAGCGGCGGAACACCTTCAATTAAGGGGGGGGGGCACTGCCGACTTTTGGTCCCATTCTTTCCATACAACGCCCATAGGGCTTATGATCGTAACCGATTTGAGACATTGCCCCGCATTCATACTGCTTGCTTCGGGTGATTGGAATTGAATGCCGGCTTAGTCTGGGCCCTACGACCAAAGTTGCTTCATTAAGGCTTCGATAGAACAGTTTTTATGTCGTTCTTCCAATCAATGCGACTCTAGGGCTCCTCATTCTTCAATGTCATCGAGGCCGCCGTCCTGCACAGAAAAATCGCATTGAATAGAAGAGCGTGTTTCATGGTTATTAGGCACAAGCGTTATACACTGAAGTCCCAATCGCTTTGTATATATGTATTGTATTCAATGACAACAAAAGCGTTATAAATTTCTTATGCCACCTAAGCTTTCAAGTCATGTCCTTGTCTCCCTTTCACGTAAATCTAAGTGTACAATAATTTACTCTAAAAATGCTCTACCTGTTTGGGATGGGTTGTTTGATCGCCCCTTGCAAAATGTCTGTTGGCACGCACATTCATAAAGAGTGTGCAGTAACTTAAAAGATAGCTTTAAAGATAGTCTTAGAAGATAGTCTGCGGCGTGCCCTCTCTGCTGGCTTTAATGGCTGTGTCTGACCGTAATTTCACTGCAGCTGACATGCCGAATTCCGAAATGAGGCTTTGACTCCAACTACAGCCCCATGTACATAGCTTTGTCTCGACCCTCCGTCCCGCTGACCTCTCCTCCGGTCCTGCCGACAGCGGTGTAAGCACAGACCCTTGGTTCACTCCTCTCACTCCGCTGTTCCCGCCGACAGCGGTGGAAGCACACTGCCCCGGTTCACGGCTCTTGGTTCACGTCCTCGCTCCCCTGCCCCTACCGACAGCGGTGGAGGTGCACAGCCCCCGGTTCACGGGCTCGAGCGTGGTCCAGTTCGCGCCGCCCGTGGAGGCGCACACGGACATGCGACTGACGCTCGAGCTGCGCCCCGAGGACTGGGACGGCGTGGTTCTGCTCAGCGGCGAGACTGACAGCCTGACGGGTGACTTCATGGCCGTCGTACTCACCGGCGGCTTTGTCGAGTTCAGGTGAGCATAGGACGGGAGAGCGCAGGATGGGGTGAGAGCAGGGTGGAGTGAGGGAAGGAGGACGGGGTGAGCACAGGACGGGGTGAGCACTGAGCATGCAGTGTGGAATAGTCTGGGACGGTAGATTTTTCTCTGTCTGTCTGTCTGTCTGTCTGTCTGTCTGTCTGTGCGTCTGTGTGTTTGTCTGTGTATGTGTCTGTCTGTCTGTCTCTCTGTCTGTCTGTCTGTCTGTCTGTCTGTCTGTCTGTCTGTCTGTCTCTGTCTCTGTCTCTGTCTCTGTCTCTGTCTCTATCTCTCTCTGTCTGTCTGTCTGTCTGTCTGTCTCTCTCTCTCTCTCTCTCTCTCTCTCTCTCTCTCTCTCTCTCTCTCTCTCTCTCTCTCTCTCTCTCTCTCTCTCTCTCTCTCTCTCTCTCTCTCTCTCTCTCTCTCTCTCTCTCTCTCTCTCTCTCTCTCTCTCTCTCTCTCTCTCTCTCTCTCTTCCTTTCTTTTTCTTCATCCTCAGACAAAAACCGGGAGTTTTCTATTTCTTTTATTCAATATCAGTGGAACTCTACGAACGTCAAATAATCGTCTGCATCACTTCAACATTCACGCCACGTGGCCATTTGTAAACATCATATCATTTGTTTGTGAAAAACACAACACTCTGGGGGGCCTGAATCAAACCATTTTCAGAACCACGCTTTGTGTGCTGTGATTTTAGGATGTTTGATGTGAGCTCCCAGAGCTCGAACGGTAAATAAAATTTTGAAAATACTGACGCTGATCGGAAAACATGTCAAAAACGCCCGCTTTTGCTTGCCTTTGTCCTGCATGCATAATCTACTTCTGCCAATCCATCCACCATTTTATTAATCATAGATAACAGTTGACCATGGCAATTTCACTGCGCTAATTTACTGCAGCTCTTTGGCTATATTTTTTCTCAGTACAATACTACCTAGTTATATCTTGTCACTAAATCCTTAATAGCACAATGAACATGCTAATCCAACATATGCATTCGATTGTGCATGCTGTGCCTAAGCTTGACAACATTAATATGTAATGTATGTCATTTGAATCTTTATATCACCGGACAGATTCAAGTACCTACCTACCTACTTTGCACATAAAATTGATACAAATGACACAAGTATATTCGTATCGCTTCAAAAAGCTACATCTTTTACGGAATATTTTCATCAGCGCTCCTGGGCTGAAAAGGATGGTGTCATTAAAAGATAAGGCACGCTCCTGGGCTAGGCTTTTTTGTCCGACCCTCCCCGATAATGTCTCCCCGGAGCAGTGACAGCTCCCCGCGTCACGCCTTCCCAAGCGAGACAGACGGACGAGCCGCCACTTCAGAGCGATATCTTGATTAAAACTCGTCTCTGGGTGTGCGCGAAATTGAACTCGAGACGTCGTTCAGAGACGGCTCGGAGAAGTTGGCTCGGTATAAAGTGCGCCAGTTTGTCATACCTCCACTGTGGACGTCCGTCATTGGGGCAATATAGCTGCCGGTGCCGTCACTTGGGGCTCGCGCGGGAAGGTGCCCGTTCAGCAGCGAGCGGCTCAGTCGCCAGCACAACCATTTATCGCTGACTAGGAAAGCGATGCGGCCCGAATTCTCGCCTCATTTACCTTTCAGCGATAGCGCATTCGTCGGGCCAGGAGCTGTGACAGACAGTCGAAAACAGTTCAGTAGTCTCTGATTGCGAAATAAGTAGCCTAAATAGGGCTTATTTGAATTGAATCGTTCTATCGTTTGTGAAATGCTCTCGGCTTTGAGAAAACATGGGCAATAACTGTGGCCTTTTCGGATGTGGTTCCATTTCCAGGCTTCACTATTGACTTTAGCCGGTTGTGGTTCCAGGGTCGACTGTGGCTCCAGCTTAGGTGTGGTTCCAGGCTCCTTTGCTGACCCTGACTGGGTCTGGTTCCAGGTTCGACTGTGGATCCGGTCTGGGAGTGGTACGCTCCCGGGAGCCCGTCTCTCTGGACCGCTGGAACCGTCTGACCATCATTCGGACACGCTCCTTTGTCTGGATGCAGCTCAACAACGGCCAGCACACCGAGGGCATGTCGCAGGTGGGTCTCACAAATACCACGATAGTCGGGCTTCTAATGACAGCTGCACGAGGCATTAGGATTAGTAGTCACTGCTGTTTGAATGCGAAGAACGCTACTGGCAGTATGATCGCGGTCTGACCTAGTCTTATGATGTGGTATGGCAGTGTTGTTATGTTCCTATAGAGTATAGTATAGAGATACACACTTTTGGTCAGTATCACAGTCGGTTGGTCTCAGATAAGCATAGTGTCCATTGTATCCTCCAGCTTTTAAAACGGTGTAAAATCTGAATGTGGTGCCGACCAGAACAGCAGCCTTGCTTTGAATTACACCGGCGCAGCCTATACTGGTCAGGGCCAGCCTGACCTCCGCACGGTCACGACTCCGCCGCCCTACGGCTCCGCTTCGTGACCCCAATGGTGGCTCCTTGACGGTGTGCTCGGCGTTTGAGTCCGACTGCCGCGCTGAATCGATGTTTCCGTCGCCCACGACACCGGCTTCCTGGCCGGGGTAGGGGGAGGGGAGGGGAGCGTGGTCGATAACCGACCTCGATAGCGACTGCCAGCAGGCCGCCTGTCGAGCCCCTCCGGTTCCCCGCCTGCTGGCCAGCCCACCTCTGGGTTCTAGCTAAGTCCCGGTGGGTAATCTGCCAGCTTTTCAGGTAATGTGACCAATGACCGTTGTATGTAAGGGTGAATGCGTATATGGGTTGTAAGTTCACCTAAGGCAGACAAGGTCAGATGACAGCTCGTGCTGGAGGCAAGTCACATTGAATAACGATAGATACAGCGGTTGTTAGTTATGGCTGACCTATGAATGCCAATTCTCATCCTCTGCCAGACCCGTATGAATGTTAAGCCGTGCGCTCTCAGCCGCTGTTTTCCAATTCTCATCCTCTGCCAGATACGGCCGGTGTGGCTGGCAAACTGCGTCTGGTCTGGTATTCCTGAGCCCGCTCCTCTACCAAACCTAGTCAGTGCAGTGACTGGCAACTGACAGAATGCAGACTGCGTCTGGTCTGGTAACCCCTCCCGACCCTGAACTCTCATACCCGGCGAGTCGCTGGCAGCCTGCCTCTAATATTCCCCACCAGTCAGCTAGAGACCCAGCGGGCGGCTCCAGACGGTATCTGGTGTGCCCGCACCGATCTGCACTTCAATCACTATCCCGTGAAGGCGCCGACCGCGGCCCAAATGACGCTCGGAGAGCCTGGACGGACGTGTTGGGTGCCACTTAAATGCAGTCCCCGGCCCAAGATGTGCGAATACAGCTCCCTTGATGCGAAATGTCACCGGATAGCGCAGCCCAATGCTGCTGGATAACGCCACCGATTGCCACAGGATATGGTCGGCGGGGAATTTTATATTAAAGCTGACGTGCGCCAGCCGCCACGCCACCAGCTTTGAAGGCGAAATCCAAAGCCAATTTCCGGCGATAATCTGAGCGGCGCTGGGTGGGTGTCGCGGCGCGTTGGCCGGTGCTGAAGCCGGCGGCACTGCACCTGACCGGCTGCTGACTCCCACTGAGTGCCCGAGGCCGCAGCAGACGTGCCTGGCCCGTCACATTGGCTCGGCCGTTCGCCGGTCACGGGCCGATCTGGGACCAATTGAGTGGCTGTACGGACAGCGGCCGTCTCCTGAGGGGACGACTCAGCACACTGAGGTGTCTCCGAGGGCGGTATGATCACCGCTGAGCCGTCCGGCCGGCCCCCGGGGACCCGAGCCGCGTCACAACGCCGCAACGGCGGCACAAGAGCATTAGAAGTGTCACAAGAGTGGCAAAGACGCAGCAGATCGCTAATTTTGTCCCAGTGGGATACACAGTTTGTGATAATTTTCGTATATGATGTAAGATAAAAACACCAAAACCACCCAAAGTTTCGTGTTACTCACTTTTCAAGAGTGATATGACACATTTTTACTAGTGGTGTCAATTTAAGAAAACGTATGTCCAAAGTCCGTCCAACGTCCAATGCTTACGTCTATTGTCCGTCCAAAAATGTCCAAGCTAGCCATTTGTCCAAAGATGTCCGACACCTACGCAATAATTTACACTCAACACTGTTATTTCATTTGCTTTTCATGTACCGCTACAAGCTCAAAAGTGTTAATCATATCGAAAGCTGAGCTTTCTAATAGCCAATCAATGTTAAACACGACTACTTTTTAAAAATGTTGAGGTGTAGCAAGCGATTGTCCAAAGTTGTCCAAAGCCTGCGGCCATTGTCCAACCGAATTCCGAATTGGACATTGGACAAAATCGGAATTCCGAAGATTCAAGTTCCGATTGACACCACTAATTTTTACCTCGGCCGCAACTGGCCAGTGGCCTGCGCTGTATCCCAACGAAACCGAAAAATGTACTCGACTCTGTAGGCAAAAATTAGTCATATCACCCTTGAAAAAGTGAATAACACGAAACGTTGGGTGGTTTTGGTGTTTTTATCGTACATCATATACGAATAAATTTGTCCAATTCAAATAATCGCAATTAGTGATAAAGGCAATATTTAGGTTCATGCACCACACGATTACGTTTTCCTTATTTTGGCTGAGACATTGCTCCTAGGCTGTTACTAGAATGTGCGAGCATAAAAGTGGATAAAATATAAATGTTGCTGCCGTATGGTGATGAAAAGATGGCTAATTAAATTGACTTCTCATGCTGGAGTCTAAACGTGTTACGAGTAAGGTACCCATGGCCGTCATTGTGAAGCAACCCGATCTTGACAAAGACCTATCTTTTTGCCCAAATTCTAGCCATGACATTCAGGCTTCAACCGTCACAACTTTCCCTCATTCCGTCAGCACCGTCTGTCCCCTCCCTCAGCGTTGATCTGACTGTCTCTGTGCACCCTCAGGGTATCTTCTGGCACATCACGTTCGAGCTGCCTCTATTCGTCGGCGGTGTGCGCGGAGTGAGCGCCGACCGGGAGAGGCTGGGGGTCACCAGCGGCTATCGAGGCTGTATCCGCCTGCTGGAGATCAACGACCGGACTCTGGACTTCCGACCGTCGCCCGACGGGGACGCCGTCAGCGGCCAGGACATCAGTCAGTCGGGGGACTTGAGTCAGTCGGGGACATCGGTCAGTCGGGGGGCATCGGTCATTGGGAGAGGTCGGTCAGTCGAGGAAGAACTTCGGTCAGTCGAGGAAGGACATCGGTGAGAGGACATCGGTTAGTCGGGGAGCTGGGAACTTTGGTCAGTCGGGTATATCGGTCAGCCGGGGGATATTTCGGTCAGAGGACATTGGTCATGCGAGGGATGTCGGTCAGCTGGGCCTACATCGATCACTCGGATAAGGTGACATTGATCTGAGGACGAATGTGACGAAAGCGAAAGCGAATGTAATCTTTGGGACTGGAAGTGAAAAATATACAGAACACTGAACAGCATTGGCTTAACCCTCGCCCTGGCAGGGGGGGGTCGATGCGACCCCCCCCCTAAGGTTTTTCGAAGATAGCGTAAAAACGGCGGCGCGCAGCGCCGCCAAATTTGGCACAGCCTATCGGGCAATCTTTTTACATATGACCTGAAAATTTCAGGTCCGGGTGACCTTGGGTCAGGTCACCAGGTCAGAAAAACCGGTACAAGGTCATGGTCAAATTTCAATTTTCTTTTTACACCTGTCCAACTCACAGTTTTGCACTGATTTCCTTCAAACTTTCAGGATGTGCTAAGTTCACCGAGTTGTATAACATATAGTTCGGTTTTTTTTTTAGATCACTGACCTGAGGTCAGTTAGAGGTCATTACGTCGTAATGTTAAGCCTATGGGAAAATACTAAATTCGGAAAATACTGGAGATATCGCTTCGTTCTATCACTTTTGTGCTTTGAAACCACAGTACTTAACAGCAGGTCACTTGGTGCTTCTTTGTTTGGTGTACTTATCCATGGGTCAGGTCAAATGAGGTCAACTGAGGTCAAATGACGTTTTTGCCAATAACTTGGCACATAATGACGCTAGAGCTTAAAAATGGTATCATTGTGTTCCTGGTGATCAGCCGAATCGAATGATATGCAATATGATGCAATTTGGTTAACTTGAACTTAATTTATTAATTTAAGTTTACTTAAAATTTAAGAATAACTCTAAGTACACTTAAGCAAGCTAAAAAGTACATCATTCGACGAGCCTTGACGTGCTGAGATCACTGGTGCTTTTCTTTTTGCTCTATCTTAATTAGATCAAAAGTTATAAGCGAAAAACTTTTGACCTGTTTTTAGCGAAATTTTTACATTCATACCCCCTAAAAACCCCCTAAATATTGACCTAGAGCAACCAAATTTGCACAGGGGCGAGAACTCAAGGGGGCCCACCTACCTACCAAATTTGGTGTTTCTAGGTGCCATAGAAGCCAATCGCGAGGGGGGGTCGCATCGACCCCCTCCCCCCCTGCCAGGCCGTGTTATGAAAAATGCCCTGCCAGGGCGAGGGTTAAACAGCGGCTAACAAATGCAGCACACTCCAGTATTCATGTTAGGGCCAAGTAAAGCTGCATATACCACGACACGGTGTATTGTGCTTCCAGCGACCGAAGACCAAGCGCGGACACGGCGACCCGCCGACTGACCCAGTCTGGTCACGGTCGCGCCCTTATATAACCACGGCACAGAGCGCATGCGCGATGACCGCGCGGCGGTCAGGCGGCTCGCCGGCCGGACGGCCGGGCCGCCGACCCCGCCCTGTTCCACGGCCCCACACGGCCGGTCCGCGGTCACAATATCCCAACACTCCTCCCCCCATAAAAGAAACGTTTCCACTTGGTCAAGTAACAAAGAAACGCGACACACTACGCGACCGGAACGCGACCGGAAATACAAACTGATTCAGACACTGGTGATGCACATCGAGAGCATCCGAGGCCTAGGATTGAAGACGATCTGGGGGGAGCGACACTCTGCCAGACCTGATCACATACGCGCCCCGCACAGATGTACCGCCATTCCCCACCTGATCTCGGGCCCGCCGGCAGAGGTAGTACAACGCCAGTGGATCCGGTCCAGTCTCCTCGGACCCCGTCTGCTTCCTGGGACGCGTTTCTGTGGCTGTGTCCGATGCGTCGTCCCTCCGGGTGCTTCCAGACGTTTCCTGTTTGTGGGACTCCCGTTCCACAGCTGGCTTTAGCTGGTTGAAGTGCAGAGCCTTTTCCTTGCCCTTGTCGTCACGGACGAGGTACGTTACTCCTCTCTCTCCTCCGAGGCGGCCGATGATGGTGCCCGGGCCTTTGTAGTACAGTCCCAGCTTCGGCTTCCCGCCGACCGAGACCCTATTATCCCGAATCCATACCCGGTCACCAGCCTCGAACCCTTTTCCGCTCGCGCGCTGGTTGAATCGGGTCGCAGCCTCCGTAGCACTGGCCCGGGTTTTCCTGATAGTCGTCTGATAAGCCTCTGAAATGGCCTTTAGACGGTCTTCAAGGTAGCACCGGATATTTACCGCCCGATCCGGAGGGTTGATGACCGCATCGAGTGGCGTTTTCGGGTGGAATCCGTGCAGCAGAAAGAACGGGGAATATCCGGTGACGCTGTGCACAGAGGTGTTGTAAGCCATGCAGTACGCCTTGATGTCAGCGTCCCAGTTCGTTCCTTGAGGGTCAACGTATTTGGCGACCATGTCCTTGAGTGTTCTCATAAAACGCTCTACCATACCATCACTCTCGGGGTGATAGGGCGTTGTACGCGTTTTCTGGATGCCCAGTCGCTTGCACATGCACTGGAACAACGCAGACTCAAATTGGCCTCCTTGGTCCGAGTGAATCCTGTCTGGCACCCCCATGTCGTAAACCCAATCCAACAGCACCGTGGTTACGGTTTCGGCATCCTGCCGTCTGACTGGGTACACTCGGACGTATTTAGAAAAGTAGTCCATGATGACTACTGCATATCGGTTGCCATTCTCCGACACCGGCATCTCAGTGATGTCAATCGCAATTCTGCGGAATGGCTGACTCGTGACCTCCGTCACCAGAGGAGCCCGTTTCTTCGGTGCAGGGCGATGGCGCCGTTGGCAAAGGTCACACGTGCTGCAGTACCGACGGATGTCCGCGAACATGCCGGGCCAGAGGAAGCGCTGTCGCACTCTTTCCGTTGTTCGACTCCGTCCCAAGTGTGCGGACGTCGGATGATCATGGGCGAGCGTCATGATTCTTGATCGCATCGAATCGGGGACCAGGGCCCGGAAGCCCCACTTCGTCCTCATGCCGAGAACGCCCTCCCGCACTTCGAGCTGCGTCCAGCTCCCACGCAGTAGCTCCCACTCGGCGAGAGGGTGATCGGGCGGTGGTTCCCGACTGCCCAGACAGGCGTTCCGCATGACACTGAGGACCTTGTTGCGCCGTCTGCAACTCCGATTGTCCTGGTGCTTTAGTGTTTAGGCGTCCCGCCTGGTCACCCTTCGCACTAGGTGGCGCAGTAGGCAGTGCGCAGACTTGGTCAAGTTCTGCTGCGCCTCGAGTCTTCCCCACACATTCCTCCTCTCCACCAGAAGCAGGTTCTTGGGCTCTTGTAGCTGCGGTATGCACGGGTGCTTGACCGGCTTCGGCGGGACAAGACTTGCCGCGCTTGCCCGTCCAGATATTGCCGTTGACTGGTCGCTGCCGGGACATCGCATCGGCATTGCCGTGATCACGGCCCGGCCGGACAACCACCCGGAACTGGTAAGAGCTCAGCTCGATGGCCCACCGGCCACGTCTTCCCGTCCCGTCACGTTCCACATTGATGGACTCCGGTACACCCGTGAGTGGTTTGTGATCGGTCACGACTTCGAATTCTGCTCCAACTGTGTACTGGTTGAACCGCCGGATGGCGTGAACGATGGCCCAGAGTTCTTTATCATATGTTGGCCATCTGCGCTGTTGCTTTGTCAGCACCTTACTGTCGTAGGCGATGACTCTCTCCGTGTCACCCACCCGCTCCGCGAGCACTGAACCGACTGCAGAGTCGGATGCATCCGTGTACAAGACGAATGTACCACGGAACGTAGGGAGGGCTAACACTGGAGGTGCAGTCAGCGCCTGCTTCAGACTCTCAAAAGCTGCTTCAGCTTCCGGCGTCCACGTCAGGTGGTCACCCACCACCTTGGCTTCCCTCAGCGGCTTCGTGAGATCCATGTATTGTGGGACAAAACGGCTGTAATATCCGCACAATCCGAGGAAGCTCTTCATGCCATCTTCCGTCTTCGGTGGAGTCCAGTCGAGTATCTTCTGGATGTTATGTGGGTCCGGTAGGAGTCCCTCCTTTGCGACCCGGTGACCGAGGAACGTAACTCCGCGCTTTGCGAGGCGGCACTTTTCTGGTTTGAGCTTCAGCTTCGCCGACCTCACTCGCTTGAAGACATCACGGAGCGTTGCGATGTGCTCGTCCTCGGATCTGCTTGATATGATGATGTCATCAAGGTAGACTAAACAGCGTTTCGAGTCCAGACCCGCAAGCACCAGTTCCATGAGTCGCTGGAATGTGGCTCCAGCATTTTTGAGACCCATGGCCATCACCCTGAACTGATGGAGTCCTTTGCCCGTGGAGAACGCCGTCTTTTCTCGGTCCTCTGTGGCCAGCGGGACCTGCCAGTAACCGGTCGCCATGTCGAGCGTCGTGTACCACGTTGCCCCCGCTAGGGTATCCAACGCCTCATCGACCCTCGGCAGAGGATGCGCACATCCGCGAGTTCGGCTGTTGATCGCGCGGATATCGACGCAGAAGCGGAAACTTCCATCTTTCTTTCTGGCCAGGACGACTGGGGAGCACCAAGGACTTGTACTCTCTTCAATTATTCCATCTTTCATCATCTGCGTCTTCTGCATCTCGACTTGCTCGCGGAGTTTAACTGGTACCCGCCGTGGTCTCTGCTTCACGGGAGCCTCCTCCCCTGTGTCGATGTGGTGTTCGAGCAAATCTGTCTTGCCGATATCACCCGCATACTGACTGAAGATGTCTGCATATTCGCTGAGAATGGTTCTGAGCTTCTCCTTTCCTTCCGCTGAGAAGTCAGATCCGTCCACATCAAGTACTTCTGTCACCGTCGTATTCTGACGCCTTTCTGTTCTGCAGCTCACATCATCAACGTCATCATCATCACTGTCCCCAACGCCTCCGTCTGCAGCCAGGCACAACTTGTACTCGCAGTCCTTCTCGTTTGTGGCATCATAAAATGTCCCTAGGTCACTGCCTCTGAGAACACGGACTTCTTCAGACCCAACATTTGTCAAAATGATCGAGACGCACCCGTCGTCGTCCGCAACGACCAGAGCCCTTGGAGTCAGGAGTCCCTCCCGCTCCGCTACGGTTGATGGCTCGAATATCCCGGCTGCACCCATTTCATCACTCTGCACGCCGTCCACTCTCTCCAGCTTACCGGCTACCACGCTCTCTGACCGTGCTGGAATGACGACGTTCGACAGTAATCGCACTCGCGCACGTCTTGGTCGAACCTGCTCCCGGCTCGGCAGGGGAACGCTCATGGTTCCAATCTTGAATGAGCCAGCGTCGTCGTCAATGACCGTGCGATGCATGCACGTGAAGTCGCGACCTAGTATCACGTCGTACACGAGGTCGTCTGCCACGGTCACTACCGGGCATCGGAAGCCGACTCCATCAATGCATAATGAGAGGTTTTCCAACTCACCAACTATCTGGAGGGAGGTACCTCCCGCCCCGATAGCATTGCGCGCGCTCGGGCTGAGCCGGATTGTTCTCAGTGCTGGGTTCCCCTCATAAAATCCTCTTCGCATCATGGTGAAGTCGGCACCAGTGTCCACCAGCGCCCATGTCTGAGCACCGTGAATGACGACCCGAACGGCCGACGCCGTGAGTGGGGACGCTTTAGAGAGGACTGGGACCTGTCCCACGGCTCCAGTCCGGTTCAGTTTTCCTGATGCACACCGGCGCCCCGCCGGGGATCAGCAGCTCTTATCTCGGAGTGGCCTCCGCCAGTGCTGCCACCCTGGAAGTATTGGCACCCCGCCATCCAGTGGCCCTGCTGCCCACAACATAAGCAGAGCGGCAGCGCGCGCCCATCCCTTGTCGACGGCAATGAAATGGGGCAGTGTCGCTTGAGGTGACCCAATTCTCCACAACCGAAGCATCTGACGCTAGGTGAACCACGGCTACGCTCGGGGCAGTCTCGCTGAAAATGACCCGGCTGCTCGCAGCGGTAGCACCGGGGAAGTCGGCGAGACTTACTCGCATCAGTTGTCGTCTTCGGCGCCATTGTGATGGCCGATATCGACTCGTGTAGCCCGCGAGTATGATCTTCGATGGCTGTGAGCCGGTTGTTGTCCGTCACAGTCTTTTCTGCTTGACCCGCGGTTGCTTCACCCCCGACCGGGCGGACCGCCCCGATAACGTCGATCTCATGATTTCGCACTGCCTTGATCGTCTTCCTCGTCTCCTCGAATTCTTTACTAACGCGTACCGCGTCAGTCAGTGTGGATACGTTTTGGCTGATTAACCTCTCTTGCAATTGCGTGTCACGGAGGCCACAGATGAATCGGCCGCACTGGAATCCCTCCATAGCGCTGTGTTCGCTGGGCAGAGCCGGCTGGGCTAGCCCACTCAGCTCTCTGATCCTGGCTGAGAAGTCTTCAACAGACTCCGAAGGTGACTGGCAAACTCGGTTGAGTTCGGCATGAGCCTGCAACGTGCTTATTTGCCGACCGAACCGACTTTTCAGTGCTTCAACCACCCTGCCGTAGTCCTTCCGTGACTCTTCGGTGAGTGACGCGAATGTGTCCAGTGCGACTCCGTCCAAAAGACCCACCATAGCCGCCAGCCGGTCCCCGGCTTTCATGCTCACCGTCTGAGCTTCGAATCGGCGGAACCATTTCTGCCACACTTCCCCCGACTCTCCACTAAATTTCGAGGCTCTTGAAAGGAAAATGGTAGATAAATCCATAGTTTGTTATACTGAACTCTACTGGAGAGAACCTCTCATCACCCAAAGTCTCTACTCACCGGCTCCGTCCACCTTTTCCACCGTGAGCTTGCGTAGGCCGTCACAGAACTCTCACAGCAATCTTCTTTCTTAAAAACTCATATGCAGCCCATTTACGTTATTGGTCCTACCGACCGCGCCAAAATATGTTAGGGCCAAGTAAAGCTGCATATACCACGACACGGTGTATTGTGCTTCCAGCGACCGAAGACCAAGCGCGGACACGGCGACCCGCCGACTGACCCAGTCTGGTCACGGTCGCGCCCTTATATAACCACGGCACAGAGCGCATGCGCGATGACCGCGCGGCGGTCAGGCGGCTCGCCGGCCGGACGGCCGGGCCGCCGACCCCGCCCTGTTCCACGGCCCCACACGGCCGGTCCGCGGTCACAATATCCCAACATTCATTCATGAGATTCGTAGAGTGACAAGCCATGTCAATGACCAATATGTGATCATCAGAGTGGATTTTTTCTTTCTACCCGGACGCCAAAAAATCCCTACAAATTACAATTGAGCCGCTTGCGACACCTCGTGGTCTCATGTAGCTAGATGCTCTAAAGAAAGAGTCGTCTGGTGAGTCAGATCCGTGACTGGACTGTTATCTCCTCTCTCCGGAAACCCCTCCGGTAGAGAGGGAGAGAGAGAGGGGGAGATCATCTGCCGCGAAGTCGGCTGGCTCGCGTGGGAGTGCAGGGCCCCGCAGCGCCGCTCAGTATAGCTCGAATGGTGCGGCGCCACACTTCGTAAAACTGATGACTGTCGGAAGGTGGGCGTAGGCTTGCAGCGCTTTGATTGTTTATTTTCGGATGGCCGATGCATTGTGAAATGTCCGGAACGAAATGATGGATGCAGCGGTGGCAGCATTTCGCATTTCGAATCGAATGCACCTTTTGAAGTGCTGGAAACAGTGGCGTACGCACATACAGGACATTCCGTGCATGCCCTGTCCCTTTGGCTCATCGTCCCCGGCGCCCTCAGTGACTGGCGCCCCTCTGTCCAGTGTTGGCGCTCCTCCAGTCGATAGCGGCGCGCTTCTAGTTGATGGCGAAGCCCCTCTGTGCAGTATTGGCGCTCCTCTGGTGATAGTGGCGCCCTCCTAGACGATATGGTGGGCCGGTGGCGCCCCTTTGTCCAGTATTGGCGCCCCTCCAATCGATAGCGTCGCGCTCCTAGATGATGGTGGGTGGCGCCCCTCTGTCCAGTATGTCAGTTATGTTCGTTCCGCACGTGTACGAACATAACTGACACATTCAAGTTTCAGATATGTGGCGCCCTCCTTGTTGTTGGCGCCCTCCTTGATTGGCGCCCTCTCGTCCAATGCCCTGGTCCTTCGCAAATTCCTGGGTACGCCACTGGCTGGAAATGAGTTCTGTCAAGAGCATACTCGTACTCATTGCTCATCCTGCATATGTTTATATCTCTTCGCTGTGGGTCGGTGGATAATAAAGTTAGTTTTCAGCTACAGGCGAGTGTAACGGTGATTTTATGTAACGGGAGACTGTAATCGCAGGTTTGTGTTCATTTGCTAAAAACTATTTGTTTGAATTTTGTAACGCTGTTTTTCTGTCGCATGCGAGTGATAAAGGTGATTTATTTTGTAATGGTGGATTTGTTTGTAACTGTAGAGTGTTTTGTAACTATAAATTGTAACAACTGATGTTCTATTTCAGGCGAGTGCAGCGGTGACCTGTGCAGCCGGACACCGTGCGGTCACGGCGGCCGGTGCATCTCTGCCCCGGACGGCTCGGCCACCTGCCTCTGTCCACTGGGCTTCCTCGGAGAGCTATGCGAGAAACCAGTCGACCTGCAGGTGAGCACAGAGGGGTCATGGAGGGTCACGGAGGGGTCACGGAGGGTCACGGAGGGTCACGGAGGGCTTACGGAGGGTCATGGAGGGTCACGGAGGGGTCATGAAGGGGACACGGTTGTTGAAGCAGTGTGACTATTGTTACCCTCTCCAAACGACCGGGATAGTGTGTGCACTGTGCAGTGCAAGACTTGGAATCGGCTGTTGGCGAAGGGAGCTGGTGGCGTGGAGAAACTGAGGCTGGTTTTTAGGACTGATGCGACGACAGCAGTAGGAAGATTGTCAGTCATCAGGGAACCCCACATTTCCGGTCGTTATACGAGTTTTTTTTTAACAAGATGCGCATCAATTTCTAATTTCCAGTCGTGAATCAGACATTTCATCGTAAAATAAGTAATGAAACATGCCCCACATTATATTCTGCCTTCTGTTATCCAGCCGGCTGTCATTTTCTGTCGCTCGCTCTCAGCTCATAAATGGCGGGCGCGTTCCCTCTCATGTCCAAAAAGCGGGCTCAGTCCGTTTTCCTCCAAACGGCGGGCGCGGTCGCTCTCAGTCCAAACTGCGGGCTCGCTCTGCCGGCGGATAAATCCCGGCGCCCGGGGCCGCCGAGCCATCAGTTGCCGTGCCCGGGCAGCTCCCTGGGGACCGGCCGCGTCCGCCGGCTGCGAGGTCGTTAGGCTAAAGAGACGACCTGTCCCAGGCCGGCCGCCCGACACTCCACCGACCCGGCCGGGCCGGCCGGGCGCTGCACAGCCCGGTAGGAGAGCTGGCCGCGATTCCAGTGGCACGCAACACGGAAAGCGTCAAACGTAGAAATATACTGGCCACCAAGACAAATTGTTCACATGGACTTTTTCATAAGGTATATGAGCGTAGAAATTGGTTTTAGATGTGTACTCGTACATACCTACCGTCTATAAATGCAACTATACAATTACAGTGGCAGCAATTGACGGAACACTTTTTGTGTCACACGACAAAAAAAAACATAGTAGGCCAAAGGCATAGACACCAGACAGTGGACACATCACCTTCAACGTCCGACTCATGACTCGCCGCCTTCCTCTCTTGTTGCTCGGCCTTCCGTCCAGGAATTAGGTCGCTGGGGAGGCCCTCAGATGTGTCGGCCGCCGCCGGTCGGTCGTGGCCAGCTGGTGCCGCTGCTAATGTTGTCAGTCGCGGTCCCCAGCGGCCGAGTGTGAGGGACAGCCCTGTTTTATAGCTGACAGCTACGGGCCCGGCGGTATCCCACATGGAGTATCAACCGAGGTTATTAGCTGAGCGCCGAGCTCTAGTGTTCAAAATGTTTATCCCGTTACAAAATTAGACCGGACATAACGATGTTTATGATCTTCACATACGACACTGACCGTTTGAAGACATACTTGAGGTATAGGTATCCCTACAAAAGACAAACTACCAAAAGTGTATATCATTTACAACATAAATTTCGTATGTGCTATCGAATGCTATCCTATTTTCCTTTCCATCTGATTTTCCTCTCCGTTTCCGCGCTGGCCGCCCCTCAGGTCTGTTAAATAATTCACCCGTGGCCGTCTATGACGTCAGACGGCCCCCGTCTGTCAGACGAGCCGTTTGCTGACGAGGTGCCGACGCAGACGAGCGACCTATGAATATCTGACCGGCTCGAAGGTCCGATACGAAATGCCTCGGCCTCTGGTTCCTTCCCTGGGTATCGATAGCCCATGCAATTGGTCGATCGATTGGTCCGGTTTTTGGTCTGTCAGTGGCACGGCCGTCATTTTCCAAAAGTTATGGGTAGGTCTTTCATCGTTAATTTTAGGAGACCAACGCTATTCTCACCATTCATTAGGGCTAATTGTAAATTCCGACAGCATCGGTGGTCGCCGTCAGTGCAGTGGTCAGTTGCCGTTTTGCCGGTGGTCTAACGTAGGTCTGTGGCGTTAATTGTTTGGCGCTCAGTGGAAAATTCACCGAACCAATTGCTTCTTGTTTGATATGATCGTAGCACATTTCCAGGAGATCCGGCATAAGTTGTCAGCTCTACCAGCAATTCATAGTTCATACAAGAAGTCGTAACTCCGGGAGCGGAACTGGATTTCAGGGAACCTTCCGTTAGTGTTTCCTCTCTGTCGCTACTGTGTCCCGTGCTGCGACCCACTCTAGTTTGGCTGTTGTTGGCCGTACTCACCCATTTTTCGGTTGCGCTCCTCATCCGGCCACAACCGTGGGTGAGACGACGTCCGACGAGAGAGGGAGAGAGTAATAAAAAAAAACGAAAAAAGAGACGGAGGAGACAATGTTGAGGACATTGGCGCCGTTGGGGATGGGGGGTGGGAGACGCGCCACTCGCGGCCCGCCTCTGTTGTCACCGTCGTCCCCTCTCACTGACTGACGTCCGCCGACCGTCCGAGCCCAACGAGGGCGGCGACCCCGCCTAGCCGCCGCCCCGCCTCGGCCGGCCCGGCGCGGCGCGGCGGTCTCCCAACACGGTCATATAACACGCCTCGCGACGGCCCCGGACGGCGCTGGATACGGTTTGCCATAAAAGGACACCTGCGCTCATAAACCAGCTGTGGACATAAACCAGCGGATCCCCAGACGGTGACAGGCCGTCTGCGGCGTGCCGCGCCCGTTGACCGACGCCCGTTGGCGCCGCAACCAGCGTCCGACGCCGAGCCGCTCTGGCCGTGTCGTGGGAGAATGCCGCCAAACCCACTCGCCGGGCAGACCACTATACGTTATACCAGGCCAACCTCAAACCGATCCATTACCAAGTAAAGCCGGGGCATTATCCGCTCACCCCCGCGGTCACCTATGACCCGTTCGCCCACCGGCCCGACCCAAGTTCCCAGGTCAGGGCTGAATCGGCCGCTGCCCGGTCACGCACCGAACTGACCTAACGTATATCCAAGCCACATGTCACTCAGACCCCGTCGTGTCGCCCGCCGTGCGAACCTCGCATTCCCAGGTCCGTCGCCGATCCGGCCTCTGCCAGGCCTGTACCGCACTGACCTAACATTACCAGGTCAGTCGCCGAACCGGCCTCTGTCCGCACCGACCTCACCGAACCGGCCGCAGTCCGAACCGGCCTCTGCCAGGCCTGTACCGCACTGACCTAACATTACCAGGTCAGTCGCCGAACCGGCCTCTGTCCGCACCGACCTCACCGAACCGGCCTCTGTCCGCACCCGCCTCTGCCAGGCCTCGCACCGGACTGACCTAACATCCCAGGTCAGTCGCCAAACCGGCCTCGCCGAACCGGCCTCTGTCTGCACCGGCCTCACCGAACCGGCCTCTGCCCGCACCGGCCTCACCGAACCGGCCTCTGTCCGCACCGGCCTCTGCCAGGCCTCGTACCGAACTGACCTAACATTCCCAGGTCAGTCGCCGAACCGGCCTCACCAAACCGGCCTCAGTCCCAACCGGCCTCTGCCAGGCCTCGTACCAAACTTACCTAACATTCCCAGGTCAGTCGCCGAACCGGCCTCGCCGAACCGGCCTCTGTCCGCACCGGCCTCACGAACCGGCCTCTGTCCGCACCGGCCTCACGAACCGGCCTCTGTCCGCACCGGCCTCACGAACCGGCCTCTGTCTGCACCGGCCTCACGAACCGGCCTCTGTCCGCACCGGCCTCACGAACCGGCCTCTGTCCGCACCGGCCTCACGAACCGGCCTCTGTCTGCACCGGCCTCACGAACCGGCCTCTGTCTGCACCGGCCTCACGAACCGGCCTCTGTCCGCACCGGCCTCACCGAACCGGCCTCTGTCCGAACCGGCCTCTGCCAGGCCTCGTACCGAACTGACCTAACATTCCCAGGTCAGTCGCCGAACACGATACATACAGCCAACGACACTGCACACAGCACGTGGTTACGATGCAGATACCGGCGGACCGGACCCACCTGCCATTCCAACGGTGCCGGGTCCGTAGTGTTGCGCGGAGTCCATGGTCCGCGTCCCGCTCTGGCTCGCACCACCGTACCGTGCACGATAGAGGCTGCGTGATGCCAGCACACGCACGCTACCCTACCACACACGCGCTATCACGCCACCAGACGCGCCACTCGCGGCCCGCCTCTGTTGTCACCGTCGTCCCCTCTCACTGACTGACGTCTGTCCTCTCGTCTCCTCCCTCGCCCTCCCCGCCCTCGCCCCTCCCCACGGACTGCCGCTTCCCAACCCACCTCCGACCCAGCTGGTCTTCACACTCCAGAGGGGCCACTAAACTTTATTAGGGGACCCTAATACCGATTACACATATCATCCAGTTCCGTTTTGTCCTTCGCCAGAGCTACATATAGCCATGATAGAGCTACACATGATAAAGTGTCCGTGTTCATAATACTACTGATAATCTGACCTGCTTTAGCCCCAAGGTCAGCCATTCGCGCACACAATTGAAAATTGAAATCCCACAAATTGCATAAAGACTCAACAATACACTGCTAGCTACATACGTAGACGAAATCCTCGCCCTGGTCCCATGTCGGCAGCCACTGACTAAGCCTATATACCCGACGCCGACAGCCACAATTAAACACAGTCGCCAAACGAGCACGGCCCGAATTTAATGGAGATCAATGGGCCGCGAAATGGACGTGCCAAGGCGACAAATCTTCAGCGCGATCTGCCGCAAATGTTCGTCATCTCCAGCGGGGTAATTCCGGCCGGATCTCTGCGCCACGGTCGGAATGGGACGCGCGCGGTGTGCTCGTAATGCGCCGAATGATCCGAGGATTTAGAGCTTTACAAACTGAGGCACACCGCGCTCAACGGTCGCGGAGCGTCAGATCACGCAGGAGTTTTAACAGCCTCGGCGGAATTCGGTGGGATGACTCAGACTGACAAGAGAAGTATGTTTCAGTTGTCTCGATCCATTTTGAAACGCTTTGAAGGCGTAAATAAAGCTACGTATGTATGTAGATTGTAGATACTTATCTTTAAACGGTTTCTCTCTCTCCCTCTCTCTCTCTCTCTCTCCTCTCTCTCTCTCTCCCTCTCTCTCCGTCTCTCTTTCCCTCCCTCCCTCCCTCTCTCCCTTTCTCTCTCTCTCCCTCTCTCCCTCTCTCCCTCTCTCTCTCTCTCTCTCTCTCTCTCTCTCTTTTCTTTACCTCTTTCCTTTCTCTATCCTTTTCGACGGCCCTCCGTCCTAACCCGTAGCACGGCAGCTATGGGCTAACTTTGTAGTGCATTCTAGCGTCCCGCTATGAGTTTATCTTGCCGTCCCATATTTCCAAAGTTGGCGTGGGTCCCGCCTCTGGTGACAACGCCATCGGCCAAATAACTGAACCGAGCCGTATTGGATAAAGCCGATACATGGGCCGAGTTTGGGGAACTTTAGGCCGGAGGATGGGGTGCGCAGAAGGGCGATGGCGGGGGTGACGGCAGGCGGGACGTCCGCTAAGGACCGGCGCTCAGACGCTCACTTGTCACAAAGTTAGGGCGACGGCTGTGCTAACGCATCTTGTGACTTGTGACAGTTTAAAGTCGGGAAGACTGGAGAGGTGAAATAGTCGTTGAAGATTATACTGAAGATGCTGAAAATGATGCGCCAGGCGTTCAGTGTGGTCCTGTTCGAGCGTCGTTCTGAATACTTGTGTTTGTTCAGATATAATTAAACAAACTTCGATTTACATATGCATAGTTATGTAAATGTGGATTAACAATGCACTGTTGCACAGTGTACCTATTTTACACTGCACAGGGTCTGCTCTGTTACCGCTCACTTCTGCACTGTTGCCAGCCGCGGCCTCTGTGTTGTTGCCGGCCAGCTCTGTTGCCATCCGTTAGCAGTAATCCACTGTCGACCCCGGCTTAGCAGAGGACTCGTTTGAACACGAGCTAGATCCCAGAGTGAGTTCAGCGACAGCTCTGTCCACGGCGGGGACGGGCAGGCCACCCCGACTGGGACGGAACTGCGCCAGAGAGAGCAAAGTTTGTTCCAATTGGCATCTGCGGAAGGCAAAAATCTTGGACATCAAGATTAGTTCAGAAGATTATGTGCCCATGTTTGTGCGCGAGAGATGTTCTCTGGAGTCAGGAAATCAAAATACGGATGTGTACAAAAAAGTTTTTAGACGTTTATCAGCCATTGCAGCAATGACGTTCGGTACGGTGTCGATAGGTACACTACATATACATATGTTGGACTTTTTGCAACGTTTATTGGGATAAGATATATTCTAACATTGCGGTTTATGACCTTGTGGTTTGTCGCTTGAAAATCGAATGGTTTGAAAACGGCCGAATATAGAATACATGTATCTAAGCACATAGTAATCATTTTTTATCTAACCCAGGCCTCATTTGGCTCATCAATGTTAATTCCGTCAACCGAACCTCTACCAACGCTCAAAACCGAATGTTTAATTCGGATGGATACCTACCGGAGCGCTGCTCGAGCTGTAAAATTGTCTCTTTAACCCGTTGAACCCTAAAATTAAGCTGAAGCACACCCGTTTACTAACCACATGAACCAAACACAACTTGTGTGATCCACACGAGGCATTCAAGATTGCCACTTTATTGAGTTCAGTACCTAAAGTTGAGTCTGAGGCGATCGACGGGGTGCTAATGAGAGAGTAGAACTTTCCTCGGACTTTCCATGATGACCATCACAAAGTTAGGACCGATTTAACTTCCAGTCAAGTTCAGCAGAAGTCAGTGCCGCGTCATTGTTTCAAATTAATGATTCTCTAGAGATAACGACCGCGAGATTTGTCTCCGGCTTCACTTGGAAGACAATTCAGAAACAAAAGAATTAATCTGTCAAAGAGCTTCTGAGATTCTCTCAGAAAGGGAAGCGGGATGAGGCACGTTAGCGGTTAGATTGATTTGGATGGTCCTGTATCGTTATACGGATTTCATAAACGGTGATGTTTTATATAGCTTCTGATATATAAAACAATAAACAAATGAATTAAAAATTTGGAAAATGTTGCGCTGTACTGTAATTGTTCGCTGAATGAAGAGTAAAAGGTGCTACAGTTAATCTGCATTCAAGTCTGCTCATTCAATATCTCAAGAATCCATAGACGTTCAGATTACCAAATGGTGCATGGATGTATTAATGACAACATTTCTCAGCATCAATGGCAATTAATTCGGAGCAATGGCCGAATTGGAGCCATTCATTTCAACACGCTCAGCTTATACAGCCAATAATTAATCGTGGCGAGAAATTGAAGTTTATCGGAGCATCGTCACCAGATCGGGCTCAATCTCAGACAATGTTCCATCTCTCCTTCTGTAGGTTCCGTTCTTCAACGGCTCGTCGCACCTCAAGTACCCCGGCCTGGGCACCTCGGCACTCTCCTACCTCTCTCTGGAGGTGACCATCAAGCCGACGGCTCCGGACGGCATCCTGCTCTACAATGGACTGCACGCCAACGGCCAGGGCGAGTTCATGGCCGTCAGTATGCGCGACGGTCACGTCGAGTTTGCGTTCGACCTCGGCACCGGAGTGACCTTCGTGCGGTGAGTGGGAGGAGCGCCGGTGACCGACCTTTGAAAGTCACTGGAACTAGTAAATGTCAGTGCTTGTCTGAAGTTCTTTCAAAAACTTGTAAACCTAACTGTGTTTGCTGCGAATGCACTTAGTCTTGGGATTTTTGGCTTTACCTACACTTATGCCGAAATGGTCTTCTCTGGGCACCAATGCGGTGGCTTTTACTGACATGCGTTCATGTTCATCCCAGAGTGCAGGAACACATACGATTTTTAAAGCTTTTAAAAAGCTGTTCTTGTGTGATCCGCTCATTTAGCGAATCGTGTGACAGGTGTGCGATGAAACGCGATATTAAATCAGCTTACTGTGCACAAACGTATAAACTGAACAAACCAACACAAGCTAAACTTTTGAATGCATAAGAAAATCCGAATCAGAATGTTGCAGATCCCTAGTGAAGAAAGTTCCTTAACACATTGGACTTCTTTGGTTATTTGCTCACTGTTTGAACTACTTTTCACCGTGCCATATTACGATTTGCCGTTTTGCTTGCGCTATCCCGGCAGTTGCTGGGGTATTTCGCCACCCACCGTTTGCTGGGGGGGGGGGGGCGTTAAACGCCCCCAGCCGATAACTCGAGAACCAATAGGCGCAGCGAAACGCACGAGGCGGCAAACGAAAGAACGCGACGAGACGCTTCAGATGAGTACTTTTAAGTTGAATTTTGAGGTCACAGGTCAGGTCAAGGTCAGGTCAAACACCTGAAATCGGGCTTTCAGTAGCATGGACTTCAGGACTTCGCAATGGGCGCCTCTCGTCATAAACTCTGTCAAAACGGTGCACAATCCATCATATAAGGCCTACAAGAGTGTCAGCTCCATGTAGGGGTCAGTCAAGCATAGGTCAGGGTCAAGGTCAGGTCAACCGGGCAGGCACATATCCCCGAAAATCAAAACTAATATTCGCAGCCTGTGACACATGTTTTATGGGTAATTTGGGGCGTGGAACACGATGGTGACATTCATTTTACCATATGTGTACGTGTTTGGCTAAAAAAGTTCAATTTAAGAAATGCATGTATCATGGTCGTGAAGTAGTCACGAGAAATTGCCAAGATTCAGTTCAAGATTTTGGAAAATGCGGAACGATAATCAACAATCGAAGATAGCCATTTGATTGTTCATGGTATTAGCAGTCCAGTGGCGTTTACGGCATGTCTGTATGTCTATTCTGTGATTTTATATGATTTTTTGAACATATGCCGTTTTTGGTCAAAAACTCAGAAATCATGACGTCACTAAAACCTCGATATCTCAAAAAATTTCCGACTGATTTTTTTGAAACCTTGTCACAATAAACTTCATTCAATTCCCTACAGGTACTCAAAATTTGGCGCGCCTGCGGCGCGCCGTTTTTATGCTATGGCCCGGCGAAAAAAGTGGGGGCGTTTAACGCCCCCCCCCCAGCAACTCGCGGGCTATGTTGTGGTCACTGGCGGATCCAGACTTGCGTTTTGGGGGGGGGGCCAACTCCTGCAAGTAACCAAACCTAGGGTACCCCCAAATCCTGTTTTCTCATCGGATTTAGGCCACTTATTTTTTCGTCACAGCCCTGAAACGATATTTTTTTAAACTAAAAAAAAATAGAAATGGTAGCCCACCCAACCCGAGCCTAAATATTACTTTGAAAACACTTCAAATTGCTTTTGTCGACCAATTAGCCCGCTCCGGGTCGGTGCGTGGCGCAGCCTTCGCGGGCTGGGAGGTGTCGGTTGGACCCCCTGCCGTTCGGCCCCTGATTAAGCTAGAGCTCGCGGAAAAAAAAAACAGGCGTGTTGCCCGTGAGTGACGAGACGGAGCCGATGATACCCGATTTTAAGGTCCTTGGTCATTGGTTGACCTTCCAGGGCGGTGTTTCACGGTCGTGCTGACAGCCGCTGATAGCGCATTCCGCGAGCTAAGGTCAGCCTTCGGTAGTGTTGTGGGTATAGGCTTGTTGATGTCTCCATTGAAACCAAAAGTGCCATCAGCGCTGGCAGCGGCTGGCAGCGTGCCGTGAAACACCGCCCAGGTCAGGTCACAGACCCAAAAGACGGGAAAATCAGAACCTGTCAGAACCTCCTAAAGTAAGGCTGTAATACGTTTTTTTTGTGCTGATCACAAATTTCATGTTAGTTTGGATCATAGATAATGTCATCATGCGTTTAGACCATGTCGGGGCAGGTCAGGTCAGATCAACCAGTAGGAGTACTTATGGGCGTCCGTATAGCAGGTGTCCACTACCACTGGCAGCTACGTAACATGATACGAAGGCATCAAAACTACTTCGTAAATGTTCAAATGGCTGCAAAATGCTAAATTCAAAATCAGCTAAACGAAACTATCCTAGAAACATGTTAAACTCGGAAAAGTGCACCGAGGTCATCAAAGGTCAATGACCTGACTTGACCGTAAGGTGACATTGGCATCCGCCCTAATGCGTGGGAGCAACATCATATCACATGTTTGAGCGTTTTAAACCACGAAAAGACTATAAAAGCGCGGATAATGTGAGCCGACATACGCCGAATCGCTATTCCGGCCAAACATGGCCTCCAACATGGCCAAACAGTCTCGAGAAATAGGCCACAAGTCAAAGTTCACTTGGGTCAGGGTCATGAAATTTTCAGACTTTGTCACCATGAGGGTACTAAAGTTTCGTCGCGATCGGCTTCATGATACCTTACACGATAACTTCACACGTCGATCGAGAGTTAAAGCATGGATGAAGGAGAACCAGGGGATGAAGGTTCTTTCATCCATGGTTAAAGTGTGCAATAAGAACTTCTTGGGTGAAGACAAGACCAACACTTTTATCAAGCTCACTGCTCACAGATTTTTAATGATACGGTATTTTCTCTCTACCTACTACGCCCTTCTCACATTCATTTTTCTTAAGTGTTTTTGGGGACAAAAAATATATGTTGTTCCCCTTTCAGGCTTGGGGGCATGACCCCGTGGCCCCCCTGGATCCGCTAGGCCGAAACTAACTAGGTCGTTTTCAAACGGTCTGATATTTCAGGTCATAGTTTGCAAACGGCCGGTGTTTTCAGGTAGTTTCATATGGCCTGACTGGGCCAGGCCGTTTGCAAACGGACCGAATTTTCATACGGCCTGTAACATATATTCAGATTTCGACATCTGTCGTAGCATCAAATGCTGATGTGGCGCACTCAAAAGCCGGAATTGGTCCTTGGATGCCGTAAGGACCCTTTTAAGAAATAAGTGATCCGACTGACCCTTAGAGATTGGCCTGAGCTGTGACCGAAATAAGTCTTTTACCGTTTCGCAGGAAGGGACAAAAAGGTCCCTCATATGCTTCTTGTACAATTACGAAACAAAACAAGTTTTTTTTCAACGAAAACTCAGTGAGTTTTCCTAAAAAAAATTTATTGCGCATATTCCGTGAATGAAAAGTTGCCGGGTCATGTCAGGTCAGGCTGCCACAGCAAGTTTGTTAACTTGACAGCTCAATCGATATTTATGCAATAAGACCTTCTCGGGTGACGATAAGACATGACGACACTTTATGAAGGAAGCTAGTAAACCCGGTAGTTTCTCCATAGGCGCGGGAACCGGGGGGAGGGGGCAGTGGTGGCAGCTTGCCCCCCCCCCCCCCCCAACTCTGGGGCCGTGCGGGTGGTGCCCCCACAACTTTCAGACAGAATACCGCTCCTTTTTGCAAATGTTTTCTTTTTTTGTTGAAAAAGCCAAGGGATGAAAAATAAGTGGCCTAAAACCGGCGAGAACACTATATTTGGGGGATCCTAGGTTGATCTCTATCATGGTGTGACCTCCCCCCCCCCCCCGTCTAAAAGTAGTTCCCGCGCCCCTGGGTTTCTATACGCTATTGAATCACGCTGCTGATTCTAGTAAGTATCTACTACACAACCTTCTCACATTAATTTTTCTTCGAGCGTTTTGGGGGGCCAAAAGATATGTTGGCCCCCTCTTTCAGGCTTTTTGGGCCCATGGCCCCGGTGGCCCCCTTGAATCCGCCAGTGGGGGCGGTGCCCCCACAACTTTTCAAACGGAATAGGTACCGTCCTTTTTTGCAACTGTTTCTTTTTTTGTTGAAAAAGCCAAGGGATGAAAAATAAGTGGCCTAAAACCGGTGAGAAAACTAGATTTGGGGGGACCCTAGGTTGATCTCTATTATGGTGTGCTCCCCCAGTCTGAAAGTAGTTCCCGCTCCCCTGACTTTCTCTACGCTATTGAATCACGCTGCTGATTCTAGTAGGTATCTACTACGCAACCTTCTCACATTAATTTTTCTCCAAGCGTTTTGGGGGGGGGGGGCCAAAAGATATGTTGGCCCCCCCCTTTCAGGCTTTTGGGGGGGGGGCCATGGCCCCGGTGGCCCCCCCCCCCCCCCTGGATCCGCCAGTGGTTGTGGTCCGTCTGTCGGTGGCCGCTGGCTCCAGCTGTCTGACTGTCTCCCGGCGTTCTGACGGCCCCTGGCTCATGGTCGCTGGTTCTGACGGCCCCGGTGTTTGCCGTCCACAGCACCACTCTGCCGGTGGCCCTGCACCAGTGGCACCAGGTGCGCGTCACCAGGACGGGACGCGAGGCCGTGCTGCGCGTGGACTCTCAGCCGACCGTCATCGGGAGGAGCAGCGGCGCCTTCACGCAGCTCAGCCTGCCGCAGAACCTGTTTCTCGGCGGCGTGGCCAACTACGACGCCGTCTCCAGCGCTCTGTTCCTCAAGGACGGGTTCCAGGGCTGCATTCAAAAGGTACGTCATGTAAGGGTATACAGAGGTCTGTGGTATGTCCGAGCCCGCTGATTGACCCGCCCGCTCCTCCACTCAGCTCCACTAAGCCCAGCTGATGTTCAGTAGACTCTGGAGTCGGCTGTAGGCCGGACACAGGGAATTAGAGCAGGTACAGGGTCACAACAGCCCTGTCTTCGAGCAGAATACCAATGAGCTTCAGATTGTAGGGCTACTGCTTAGAAAATCCTCCAGTGGTCACTGGGTGAAGGTTCGGGTATGAACAGGGCTACCGAATTCAACTAGTGGTTCACCACTAACACCGGACACTGGCACTGATACAGACTGATACAGCTAGGGTCAATGGGTTCTAGCCTGCCGGATGGGTCTAAACCTAGTTCCGAATGAATAGCACACAAAGCTTTTGAACGCTTACGGCCTACGTGATGTGACTTACCTGAGCAGTGGTGAAGAGGTCAAAGGGTTCGGGAAGCCTGTGCTTAAAGAGAAGAACGCTGAACGGATAATAATCGAATGATACTCATGGTGGATATTTGAGCGATAAACGAGTAGTTTCAATAATCGTATTCATGTCCGTGGACAACTCGTAGTGACCTGCGTCCGCTTCGCCCGCCTCTCGCAGATGGTCGTCAACGAGAAGCCGATCCACATGCTGGCGGCGGCTCTGTCCGGTTACAATGTGGCCAACTGCGCGCACCCGTGCGTGGCCCGTCCGTGCCACGAGCGAGGTGTCTGTCTGCCCGAGGGTGACTCGTACCGGTGTCAGTGCCGGCTGGGCAGCGGCGGCCGGCAGTGCGTCAGCCTGCTGCCCGCGCCGCAGGTGCCCCGGTTCGGCGTACACAGCTACCTGCTCTTCGACCGCGCCGACGTGGCTGAGAGGTGAGAGAGGAATACCCAGGTCGAGAGGTGAATGAAGGGAAACCTTGGTCGTAAAGAGAGTGTCAAAGACGGGAAGTCGAGTCCGATAGGTGAGGGCCAAAGACGGGAAATTGTGGCCGAGAGGTGCATGTCAGTATGGCCTGAGCCATACAGGCCGGTACATAATTTTCTTTTCTCTTACATTTACCACCCGCCCCACTCTTTTTTCAGACTGCGCGGAGGCACCAACGGCATAGAGCTGGAGTTCCGGACCCGGTACCCGGAGGGTCTCCTGGTGTGGACGGGCAGCTCTGACCTGTGGACGGGCGACTTTCTGGCCGTCGGAATAGAGCACGGCCACGTCCATCTGAGGTTCAGCCTGGGCAGCGGGACGGTCACCGTGGTCCACAACGCCACCAGGGTGGACGACGGACAGTGGCACCGGGTGCAGGCCTCACGGTGGGTGCACAGAGGGTAATACGACGGCCAGTGGCACCGGGTGCAGGCCTCACGGTGGGTGCTGGGAGGGTATACTAATACTGGTGTGAGCATGAAGGTTGCAGCTGGGCTGTGGGCGGTCCCTTACCCGACTTTCCGCTCTGTGACCGTTCTATTTCCTTGGACGACGTATTACCTATACATTTCGTCGATAGAAGCCTAATGCTTTTTCAGCGCACCTGCAGATGCACGACTTTTATTTCGAACAACAGTGCTAATGCATTCGCTGGTATATGGCGATCCTGATGCCCTTCACCGCAAAATATTAAAGAATCAAAACTTTTCTGCAAAGGTCTCCTCTCATCTTTCACATCACCGTAACTTCTTCAGACTCCCAGATGGGAGTTTTTTTTCGGTCGGCCGCCGGCGCCGAGTTTCAGGTGTGGGTTGTCAGTGCCACTAAGAGGTCTGGCTCGCTCTGAATGCCCCGAGTAATGTGACCGGGCATGCCGTGGTTCCCCTAATGGAGCCTGCGCTGTTGTTGGAGTCGGCCTAATGGCGGCCACTGAGCCGCCGCTGAGGCCACTTATCTGCGCCGCCGACGCCGAAATAGATGCTGAACGGCTCTTGTGTGGCTGCACAATCTACCAGAACTCGGTGCACGCCGAAATCAATAGCATTAGATGCTGATTGTCAGCGCGAGCCTATTGATCGAGCCTGAATAGCGCGTTTTGTTGTTCGCTTTGAAGTTACCGGTAGATAAGACTAACAAGGAACTGAGAACTTGACCAGTGAGCATAATGTCTCATAATAAGGGTTCGAAGTCAGAAGCCTTATGAAATTTTCATCGCCGTATGCAAGAAGCTCACAAAGCTACCGTTCAGCTAACTTGGGACTCATAACGCAGTGGCTCTGTGTACACACATATTTATGATCCTCCGTGTCACCAGGTTCGTGATACATTGTGTCACCACGGTGGGGACTGGGGAGAGGGTGTCATCCTATCGTTGATCCGTGTGACTGTGACCAGGGTGGGCCGGGACGGTGTCACCCCTGTGTTGACCCATGTGACCCTCCGTGACCCCAGGGTGGGGAGGGACGGAGTCATCTCCGTGGACGGCAGCTACCCCGTGAGCGGCGTATCTCCCGGCCTGCTCAGTCAGCTGGACACAGATGGACGACTCTTCATCGGTGAGCACACGGCGGGCGGACGGTCTGGCGGCTATCGCACAATATCTGTGACGGGAGCTAGTAATGGACAATGGCGAATAGGCATGGTGCAAAGTTAATGCCATAGCTAAATGTTGTGTGGCTTCGACATTTAGCGGCACATTTTATTTTTTTTTAATCAAATTTGTCTTAACGAAATGTGCTTTCTCGACGAATCACTTCGGTCAAGGTACCTACACTCGACACGCAATTTCATGAATACGGATAGAAATATTTCTGAACGTGTTTGCTCCTTCCGTAATACTATTAAATACGCCCTCCGAACACATAAATCATTCAAAGGCACTGTGACGGTGTGAATCTGCTTTTACGATCCAGAGGCACTGACTGATCCTGTGCTCTATCACCAGGCGGCGCCAGCGAGCTCGAGTACACCACCCACGGCCAGTACCGGACGGGCCTGGACGGTTGCGTGGCTGAGGTCATCATCGCGCCCGACCACGGTATACCGCTCACGGACGCCGACGACGGCCGCGACGTGGGCTTCTGCTTGTGAGCCGGGCCCCGGCCGAGTGTGAGCGTCCGTGTTGTCGCGAGCACCTGTGTCTGAAATACTCGTGTGCGGAGTGCGGGCTGCCGCGGCGCTGGACAGAGCCCGGCTGTTGTGTCGCAATTTACGCCGTGTGTGGGTGTGAGCGATGATGTGAGTTGCAGTGATGTGGGTGCTCTGGAGAGCGGACATTGTGGACTGCCGACGGTGTTTCACGCGATGCCCGGTCACTCGTGCTGGCGGTAGCACCCTGCGGTGACGTGTTGCACCATTGGCGCAGCGCTCCTTGCACTCCCAGTGGGACAAACTGAGGTTTCACAGCAGCAATAGGCGCCGAGTGAGCTAGCAGAGCGGAGGATGCGGTGGTTTCCAGCGGCACATCAGGCACGCGAGGTGCACCGCGCCGGCTGCAGGCGTGTCGCGCCGCCCCATAGACGTTCGGCACCGCCCGGACCACCGTTGTTTGACATGCACACTTGATGTTAGAGCGTTCTGGGCCGGTGATCTCGCGCGCCCCTGTGTGAGCGACTGCCCTGAGGCGGTCCAGGGCCCCACGTGCCTCTGCGCGCCCTCCTCCCCGTGCCGGCGATGGCTGCCATTCATCTCATCTGGCTGGGCCGACGACTCTCGTCCAGCGGCACTAGTCCACATATCACTGCGGAGAGGAGAGCAGGCGGCCTCGAAACGCCGCCGACCGTTTGTCTGTCTGTCTGTGCGCCTGTGGGGCGCGGCGTCTGGTGTGGCACGTATTTTTTATATGGCCTTTGGCCGGTAGTCAGTGGCGTGTGCCCTAGGATCGCCGGCGCAATCCCCGAGAAACTGTTGTCGCGCCCACTACACTGGATCTGCCTGGCGAATAAATGAGGAAACCGAACGAAATGTTTATCTGACTGACAACGCGCATCGAAGGAAAAGTGGAAAGTTGTCGCAATGCGGCCCCAACGTCCGACTTACCAAATACGTAGCCCGGCGGAAGCCCGTTTAGCCCCTCCTTGCAGTAACAGAGCTAAGCAATCATGACAGAAGCCCTCATTTGTACACATTTATCTTCGCATTTGATTTATGCTTTGCCATGTGTTTTACGTTTTCTTCAAACTTAACCCTCGCCCGTATGGGGGGGGGGGGTCGAACGGACCCCCCCACTCGGTTTTTCGCGAATAATTCGCGTAAAAAGCTGTTGATCGCGACGAAACTTTCAGTACCCTCGAGTTGATCAATAATACACCTAATCCGAAAATTTCATGACCTAGACCCAAACGACCTTTGACCTGTGACCTACTTTTCGAGACCATGTTTGGCCGAAATCGCGATTCGGCGTATGTCGGCTCGCATTAGCCGCGCTTTTGCAGTCTTTTCGTGGTTTCAATCGTTCAAACATGTGATATGATGTTGCCCCCATGCATTAGGGTGGGTGTCAAGGTCACATGAAGGTCAGGTCAGGTCATTGACCTTTGATGACCTCGGTTCACTTTTTCGAGTTTTACATGTTTCTGGGCCAGTTTTTGGAGCTGAATTCGAATTTAGCAACCATATGAACATTTACGAAGTTGTTTTGGTGCCTTCGTAACATGTTACAAAGCTGTCAGAGGTGGTTGACATTTGACACCTACCCTACTACGAATACCCGGCAGGACCCCTACTGGATGACCTGACCTGAACTGACCCAACCTGGCCTAAATGCATGAAGACATCATCTATGATCAAAACTAACATGCTATTCGTGATCAGCACCCCGAAAAGCCCCATAGCAGCCACAATTTACGACGTTCTAACAGGTCCCGATTTTCACGACTTTTGGGTCATTGACCTGACCAACCAATGACCAATGACCAAACCCCTTATACGTTCCCGCCTGGAAAAACACCAATACGGGCGAGGGAATCACAATTCAGTCACAGCTGCGGTATCCGTGTCAAGGGAGCACTGAACAGCAATGGTTTTCAGTTTTCACTGGCAGGAGGCATTCAGCCTTCAGCCTTCAAGTTTGTTGCGAAGTGCCAGCCTTTTATTGTTATTCATTTATCCTCAAGGAGTCAAGCTCAGGGGCTCCATCATTGGAGGCATCGCGAGACTCCGGTCCCGGACCGAGCCTTGCCCGGCCCGGCCACCTCCAGTATGTAATTTCGCTTTCGTAATGCAGCCTTATGTATGTATATTTAAATGTGTGTAAACATATTTTGTGGCTGAACCAATGTTAGACTTCCCCCCCCCCCCCCAACCTGAGACCACGGTGGAGCCCCTGAAACTGCTGTATTATGCACTCTGTCGTGTCGCGTAGTGTCCAATTCGGAGGCTTACTGTTCTCCGGCACAGCATCCATCAGGCGCTTTTCCTAGAGACATCTATTGGCAATTATTCAAACTGCAGCTTGCACAAGGGAAATGAGAAGTCAGCAACAAATAGAACAAATTTCAAAATACTTTTTGCAACCAAAAGAAATGTTTGTGAATGAAAAATAAAAACATGTCTGAAGGTAGCCCAGTTATGTGTAATATTGCTGCACAATAATTGAAATATCAAACATTAATCGCAGGTGAAATTTATATTTAGCAGCAAATACCAAAATATTTATGAGACAAATAGAACGCAGCAAAGACAACAAGCTTCAAGCCTCTCGTGGCATATTTACGTCTGGACAACGAGTTGCGTTGGAGAGGCCGGAAATAGTGGCGATTTCAGGACCGCAAGAATGGACCGTCATTGGAATGATTCTTTTTGAAACCGTGCACTGTTTTCGGTCGGAATTTACTAGTTACTACAAAATATTTTGTAATTACGTTTTCACTAAGAATGAATGTCATCAGAGCTAAATTTTTACTACTTTTGCATTTTGTCAAGAAGCATATAGTGCTGTTATATTGCAGTTCTTGCGCGTTTGTTACAAAATATGAAGCGAATAAGCGGCAGTGTTATTATTCATAAGTGCCAGAAGTTAAAGGGACCCTCCCACCTTAACATTAGATTTGAGTTGAGATAGCCAAAATGGGGTCCCTGGCTCACAATTACCGGTTTCGGCACTCACAACATCGAGAAATGCCTTAAATCGGAAATATTGAATTTCAAAATTGCAGCATTTTGATTCAGAGGGGCTAATGCTTAGGAATACCCCTCTGAATGTGTGACGTCAGCGCAAATATCTAACGATTTTTAAATGTTTGACTAAAACGTTTTGTAGCACGCGGTGGTATATGCTATTTGCGCGCAACATCTGCCGCAAACGCCGCACTTCTAAAATAAAGTCGCTAGAAACAGCGGAGATCAAAAAAAGTAAACATAAGTAAAAGTCTAATATCTTGAAAACCGGTGAATATTTTTCGGTGAAATTTGGTAGATATTTGTTTTCGCTCTTTCTGAACCGAGCGACATCACTTTCATGCCAATTCATAAACTTTTTTGAAGGTGGGAGGGTCCCTTTAACTTGAGGGGAAGATATGCTAATTGCTCTTGTCCATCCACTAGAAGTAAATAAATATTTTGCTTTGTGTGTTCCAAAAGGAGAGGGAACTATTTTATTTGTGCCTTCATGTCAGAATTGAAGGTGGATCATTAAATTTTCAAGGCAGTTTACAAACAAGCATTTTGATTTGGTCTTTCTCGTATACCTATAAGCAGTGGCTAAGAAGAAAAGGTTGATCAATCCTGAAGTTCAGTCATCGTTGATCGTACCTCAACTTGGCAGCAAGATCCCCAAGGACAGAGGTTATATTGTATACCTGTCCTGTAAATCAAAGCATTTTTGTGCCTGCAAAGGCTTAAGCTATTTGTAGTGTGTTCGGAGTGAGGCTATATGGCCGTTTTTGTTGTATGTTTATGTGGAGATTGAATATAACTGCTTGTTTGTATACTTACACAAACCTTTTGTTTGATTCAAACTGGTCAAACTGGTTGTTTGACCCTTTGCTTGTTTGTATACTTACTATGGTCAAACAGGGAACAGCACATTCACATAACATACTCACTTAGCACCTAACTCATAGCTGTACCCTGCAGGATCTGTACTTGTTCATGTCTCGAGCATTAACAAAGCACTAAAGTAGCTTAGTAATCATTTCCCACATTTTCTGAGCATCTAACATGACATACCTACAGCAGTGCAGAGCAGCTTCAGAGAAGAAACACTTTGAATGCACAGACTCACACCAGCCACCCAATGAGCCAGTTCCTCAGTTGACTGTTTCCCTGGATGCAACTTGGCAAGGTGAGCTAACTATAGGCAAGTTGAAGGTTAGCAGGTAAGATTGAGTTAGGGTTGAGTTAGGGTGAGTGTGCTACCATGCTATGCAGGTCTTGGGTAGGCTGCAAATATGTGTGACGATTGAGGTTAGGTCAGCTGTCAGGTTATTCAGGTATGCTCATTGCTCAGGTCACATTTTTATGGACACCTGGCAAATAAAAAACTAACATAACCTAATCTAAGCTAACCCGACTAAACCTACACAACTGCTGACTATAGGAACTAAGCACCTACCTACTTGTGCCTACATCTCATACCATGTCAAAACTCAAAGTAGAGTTCCTTGGTGGAAGATTACCCTCAGTACTTTTTATCCCAGCCCTGTGAAGAAAACTAATACTTCTAAGCTCTGAGTCACTGCTGGCCATCCACAGGAAGAAACGCTGAGACTGAGAGCTTTGCCATTGTATTTTGGACCAACAATCATGAATCACTATCATGAATGACTATGAACACATCATATGTGATATGATCACATCGTTGCATGGATTGTCACATTGACAATTTTATAACAATCCTTTTTTCAAGAAATACAGTAATGATTAACATCAAAATCAACATAAAGTGGATTTAGTGATCCAAGCTTTCTCCTCCAGTCGGGCGCACTATGGTATCGGCAGTCCATTTATGGATACGTATCTATTAAAGGAAACGTTTCCAAATTTGGAAGGCACTTTGTTCCATTTATGGAAACGCCAGTTCCAAAATTGGAAACGCCAATTTTTAAGCAGGCATATTTCTGTATTTCTTAAGTTAATAGTAATCTTTTCAGCTGGCGTGTCTTTTTGTCGATATGTTTTCTCCCAAAACAGTAAAATCCAACAATATTTTCGTACGCAAATGGCGAATCTGATGCCCTGACGCAAACCCTTGTCAACGTTCCATTTTTGGAAACGGAAGGTTCCAAAAATGGAAACTATGAGCCAACACAGGAAAAGGCATAAGCAACATATTATTGATATGTGGGCCTGTCTACCCCACGCCTTCTAAGTAATTGCCGAGCTATTGATGCCGGTACATGTTCCGATATGGGTGATTTCCCTTTGCATCTAAATTTCGTATGAATGGTCCTCCAATTGCTTGGGCATAGTGCCCGAAAGCCGATGTTGGTACAATAATGCTTACGAAAATGTGTCTTCTGGGGAAAGTCCCCAATTTCTAGGCACCTACATAAACCCCAGAACTGTCCAACCGTCTTGCCTACTAAGCTGCTACTGCTTACGAAACCCACATTATAACATATTTTAACTGTTTCAAGCATGCATGCGTGACTGCAGTAAGCGTCGCGATGTGCCCTGAATTGCGGTTAACAGACTCTGGCTTCCCAAGAAAAGCAAGGCTTTATAAGTAAGGTTGGAGTTAAACTTCGGCCTAATCAGGCCGGTTCAGAAGCTCTGGTTCGCATCTCATGCTGTCGGAGCGTGCACATTTTCCAACCTTCTCGTGGATTATTAGAAATGAGAAAGGCAGAAAGTGCTTCTAAAAACATTAAATGCAAATAGGAGTTGAAATACATATAACCTACTGCATCTGTGAGCTGTATGTACAACATGAGTTAAAATTCGTCATTTGTTCCAAAAATGGAAACTGTGCTTCATAAAGCATTATTCAATGGGCCTTACACAGGCACTAACTGAAGG